AAGCTGGGGATCCAACCCTCGACTTTCTGGTTGAGGGACGACGATTCTAACAACTGAGCCACAGCCGCCCCAACCCAGATATAAGTTGGTGATATCTTGACACACAAATTCCATCTGATCAAGAGCTGTTGAAAATCTCTCTTTAAGATTGGATTTGAGTAACAAAACAGTTTTGCATGTAGTCTTGAGAGATGTCGTAATTTCATTGGAAACTTTGTAGTATATTGGATGATTAGTCACTTGGCTCTGAAGCGACACGGTTTGGGCAGTGGCATTTGTTTGTATATAGTAAGTGATAAATTACAGTGAGTTTGTGATTTATTTGGTGCAGTCATTGTATTCCTGACCATTCACAAACTGTATACACAGGACCATTACATCACTACACTCAATCTTCCCCACAGTGCGGCCGTACTTTTGTAGTGGGAAAGCCCCCTCTAAACATTTGTGACATGGATCTAATTCAAATGGATTTTTCTTCAGTTTGTTCTTCTTTGTCCTTGGTTTTTTTTGTCAGCGTATCATTTTCTCCATGCACTAAATCTGATATCTAAACCCATGAGTTACATTTTTGGGGTCTCTGTGGAAAGACGGCCTAATTGATGTTCTCTACCACGCACCGCAGCAGACAGAGCAGATACCCACTGCAGTCTATGTATAGGGGGTTATTATGTTTTTAAATGGTGGTGGTGGTGGGGGGGGGGTTCTAAACGTACTTTGGGTCACATCACCTACAGTGATGTCAGAGGAAATGCCAGAGAGATGAGGCGCAGAGCCGCTTCATTACAGTGCTGCAGATTCCTGGGCAGGCGACCGCTGTGATAGTGGAGGCTCCAGTTTTGTACAGATAGAAGTAGAGAGGAAAAAAGCAGTAGCTGATAATGATGGAGACAGAGCACAATGAAAGGTGTTTCTATCTGGGAAAGAAAAAAAGCAGAGGTCGGACATAACAAGTTAGTAATTGTACTAAAGTAGAGATTTCAGGTATCTGTACTCAACTTTTTTACTGTACCTCTGTCATTGTAAGACTAATATATTCAACTTTTTACTACTTCCTTTTTAAAAACAGACCCGGTACTTTAGCTGTAATGTATTTAAGGAAGTCGCTGGTTTTATTTTTCCATAATTTTGCCAGCCTTCAATACATTTAGACTGATTTCTACCTTATCTAATCCAACACATCGGGAAGTATCCATCAATGTATATCAATCATGACAAACATTAGAAAGAAAACAACTTATTAGACATAACATGCAAGGCAGGGGTCTAGTGAATGTGATGTCCATGACCCATCTCAGATCAGGACAGACCTTAATGGCATGGATAAACTGAACCAGCCAAAAGCAGCAGAAAAAAATCCCAACAAAAATGTATTGCACGCTGTTGCTAAGTGGGTCACCATTTCTGACCATTTATTTAACATTGTTAACATTCAGCATGATTTTGTTTTATAGTTTCCCAGGTATGAGGTGCGTTTGAGTTAGCTTTGCACAGAAACAGAAATGTCCTTTAGAAGTCTACTTTTGACCTTTTATACCTGTAGTAGTCTGTACTTGTACTTTCTACTTAATTTGGTCAGTCCCTCTTCTTTTACCTGACATTTTCTTTTGTCTGGACTTGTACTCCAGTTCAAAATGTATTTACTTTTGCGTTCTCAGGGATCATAGTTGCCTTGGCTGTTCCCCATCTTTTGTTGCAAATCTGGCCTGGCTGGTGGGCATAGTCAGACATACTCCGTCATTGTTTATACCTTCAATATTCAAACCGACTGATGTTTCCACACAGGTGATGAGTCAAAGAGGAGAAGAGATTTACTTGGCTCTGAGAGTAGAGACAAAGAGCGCAAGGGGGAAAACAATTCAAGTTTTTTCCATTTGCCTTCACTTCCCTTTTGTCGACTAGAACACAGCAATAGAACAATTGAAAACCTTAACGCTGCCAATGCAGTAAAGCATCCAGAACGTTCTATAAGCATCTCAGAAAAACTGAGACGATAAAGGAGACAATAGAGGGCACATACAATTGATGTGAGGCGTCAGCAGGGTGAATGGAACAATTCTGGGATCCTAACAATCAGTTATTTGTCCAAACAAACTGTAACGTTGAAGCTTGCTACACTTAGAATGGTTTGGTTTTATTCTTTGTTGAAGTTTATTCAACTTCTGGCCATTCAGCAGAAACATTTTTCTCAGGTAATCATGGTAAGCAGAAGGGTCACTGAGAGAGAAAGATAATATTGTGTGTGTCAGTCAATGTTTTCGTCTCAGGTAGGGCCGGGCTGCTGTAATAATCCACTGACATGCTGGTTTGTTGTGCATTTGGCTCGTTAATGTCATGTTTGCAGTGCTTCAGCGATTATTTGCATATTGTAGGGGCAATTTGTTCCCCCTTCAGTGAGTATGACGTGTTGTGTTCTGTCTCAACGGAACACAGAGTAAACACAATACATGACTTCAACAGAAAGTTCAATCCCGACCATCTGGATTGTTTATTTCCCCTGAACCCAACTCAACCTTTTGTAAACCGCTCAGTGTACATACAAACCTTTTACCTAATGAAAAACAGAGAGTGTTCCTTTGGCTTGCCTTTTGCAAGGGATTAACTGCTACCTATACTCAATATGTGGCACGTGGTTGCTGTCAAGGCCTTCAAGAAACCACTGATACATTTGTGATGCAGTTTCTTGGAAGGACGCTGTGCTCTTAAGTTAACTGGTGCAGAAAGACGAGCAGAACGCCTGCAGAGACGATGAAACATAGAGGGGGAAAGTTTGATTTTTTTTTCAGGGGGATTCCACTGTCTTACCACTGGAAGGTAAATATACTGGAAAAGTGCATTGAGTCATGGGGTCACAAGGTCATTTAAAGGAACCTCATCCAAACAAATAGATAAATCCAATCTTAAACCCAATGATAAAAGCCATGTGGTGATTGAATACAGATACAAGTTAGTTAGATACACTGAGCAAAAAACATTCTCAAACAACAGCCATCTATTCCACATAATTGAAGTTAACCCTGAGTGGAAAAAGGTTAAAAAAACAAACACCTAACATAACACAAATTAATTCAACAGCCTCAATAAAAACAAAATAGTAGGATGTATTAATTGAAGTTAGGTGTACTTAACAGACTCACAACTGAGTGCATCATACCACAGTTTATAGCCATGTTCAGGTGGAAAACTATTTTTTGATTGGCTATAGGTTGCTAATCGAGTTAGGGATCATGTTGGTCTAAAACATGAGAAAGTGATTCACATACCATAATGTTCTAACAAATTTGAAACATTCACTACTCCAGTTATAGAAATGGATTTTAGGTATGACTTGGCAAAGGGAGATAATTCCAGTCTGCTGTGCAGCTCATAAATGGCCTAGTTTAGCTATGAGCCAGAATGCTATATTCTGGCTATACTGCTGTGATTCAGCGTTGTTAACATTGTTTACAATTGACATCAAGTAAATATAATTTGATGGTACATTTAACAGATTGATTAGCCCCTGTCACACAAACGCTAAGTCATTAATCAACTCTCTTCTTCTGGCTATGGCTAACAATAAACGTGACCTGTAGGCTGTTTGTTTGTAGAACTTTAGATTTTGGGCACATTGACATGTCTGGTCAGCTAGCTTATCTTTTTGTTCAACAAAATGTCAAGTTAAATGAACCATATGTCATTCATTAACATTTTTATTTCGTACGAATCTTGCTAGCATACTGTTAGCTATTTGGCTCAAGGCTAAGCTGAAACCCACTATACAAGTATCTCCTAATGACAAGATGTATCTAAAATCTGCTCTATGTTCTGAAGTATTGGTGGAAAAATGTCATTGCTGTAGAACATTCTGAGACAGTAAAGGCTTATAGGTGATCTTTAAATCCCCAGACATTTCCAGTGATCCGCTGATTTAGGCTTTGATCAAATGGCTATATTTGATTGTGAAGTGCATGCAAACATAAATTAATATGTTTGTTATTATCTTTAGCATTTTACCATGGTATACTTCTGAAAAGGCTTTAAGAGGTGCTCATAATCAGGAATTTATAGACTCCATAGAAGCATGATAACGACCACTTTTGGAACAATTGCACAAGTGTGTGCGCATGCAGGCCTCCTCCATTGTGTTATCTGGAAAGTGCATGGCAGTCTACCTGGATGACCTCATGCTTCGGCCCTCAACAAATGAGGAGAAGCAGAAGCATTGTGTCGGGCCAAGAAGCACAGTTTGCGGGCTGAGGTCATAGTGAGATAGTGGCCTGCAGTGGAAACACTGATGCTCTCGCTAACATGACTGGCCTCGGAAACTACTCCCGCTGAAACCCCAAAAACAGGACAGTAAAATCACACTGGGCGGTCAGACAGGAGAGCAGAGCAGCGAAAGTTCAGCCAACAAAAATACCTGATATTTCCTCAGGTTCAGCAGAGAGGACAGGCAGGTACAATGTGGATTTCCCAGAATTTACTATCCATGGAATGCATTAATAATAAATGCTTTTATTTCCCGGTTTGCAGCCGACCTTAAACTTCCTTCCTGTTAATATATAAACGATAGATGACCCAGAGTTTGAGGACAGGAAGAAGAATTTTAAGAGTTTGTGTTTGTCCTTCAGCCTACCTATTTTCCGCAGACCTTTCCTTGTAAAAATTTTAACATACTTCCTCCAAAATGACATCATTTCATGGCTCATTAAAATGATGTCATCACGATGTGTTGGAGAGAAAATGTTTTTTTTGTCAATGTGCTCAGTCTCAGGAACCTGGATCCAGCTGAATAAAGTTCCCTACTGAAATCCAATGAAATCCTCAAACTGATTTTCATCATCCTGTTTACCGTCGTCGGATTACAACTGGAGCGTATCCGAATACTCCCCGAGACAGGAAATGCTGATGGTTTCGGCAGCGTGGCTCACTGTACGTCATGACAATTCAGTCTTGTGTGTTTATTTTCAGCAGATGTTTGAAATGTCTCTCTGTTTGTGTCCCCGTGTTTGTTCCAGGCTGAGACAATGAAAGGAGCGCTGAAGGATCTGAATCTGAACATTGTGGAAATGACTGATGAGACCGCCACACTGGATGGAGGAGACGTGCTGTTTACAGGTGAGCCATGTCCTTTAAATCTGTTCATGCTGAACACATAGAGCACCCAATATACACATCAGACATCAGCCTGAGGCCATCGACATCAGGAAGATTGACTGAACTAAAGCTATCCCTAAAGGGCTACAAGAATGGACATTTACAAACCTTTAAAAAATCCTGTAAGAAAATCATGTTCCATAATTATATGAAACTCCGCCAACATTTAACATATACATCTCCAGAAATTAAAAGACCACTGCAAAAATGTGTTTTTCTTTGATTTGATTTTTTAATATGTTTGTATTAGAGCAAAATAAACATTCTTGTTTTATTGTTTACGACATTTCTCCGACTTCCCAACTGGGTAAAGTGTAAAAGGGTAAGTTCATTTGGGTGCTACTACTTCAAATGAATTAGTATAATTATAGTAAGTATAATAACACTGGAAGTTTAAAAAAAGTGTAGTGGTGATACCAAAGATCGAGGAATATGTCAATTATGTTCAGGAAGGTTAGTGGGAGTGATGTCGTTTCTCCAACTTTCACATTTCTCTCCACCAAAAACTCCAGAGTGCACCTTTAAGTTTTGTTTTCGATCTTGACATTTTGCACTCGGTGTGGGTCTTTCCCGGACCAAAAAAGGAGATAGGTGACCCACTAATCGTTTTTATCACCTGAAGAAGACCTCTTGTCGAAATTTTAACTTTTTGTGGCATTTGAGCAAGTGTGCGCTTCTATATTCTTCCTCAGTCTGCTGCTTGCTGCCCTGCACATACATGATGTGCGTATAGCTACCTCCTTTTTCTTCCCCTGACCAAACAACAGAAGATTGTTTTTTTTAACTGAGGACAAGCTCAGAAATCAATATATGATGGAATAATGTTTTTTGGGTTTTTTTTTTTATGTGTCTTGGCATGCTCTTCACCAGTTTTCACATTGCTGTTGTGTGACATCACACCCCTCTTGGCACAAAAATTCAAGCCTCTCTGCTTCGTTCACTGGCTTGTCAGGTGATCACCAAATCAGTACCTCATCAAGTAGAATGAGGTGTACAGTACCTGTGTTGACATTAAACAGACACAGGAATAGAATGGCTTCCATGCATGAAGAGATGCTGATTTAAGGAAAATGTGGAGTGGTCTCTCAATCTTTTTCCCAGAGCTGTGAAGGTTCTCTAATTAGTGCTTAATCCACCAACCGAGCAAGAACACACCACTGCAAGCGAATAAAAATAGTTAAATGGTAAAAATAGGACTTTATCCAAAGAAATCTAACTTTTCAAGTTGTATAAAAAGTCTGCAAAAACACACAAACAGTAAAACAGTTGACATTTAATGGGCCTTGACCATGACTGGCTGCACAGCTCCCCCCAGACAAATCTTAACAAACAAGCCTTTGCAGTTAGTCTCTCCAATTTAGTGAAAAGATTTACTTTTCATTCTTTAGTCAATTTTAATGTTTCACTGTAAAGCACCCACTTTCAATATCATTTACCATGGTCTTGTAAAACTTCCTTATGAAGGTAAAACGTGTCCTAATCAGATCTACAGACATAAAGATAAATATCCTTAATTAATATTTTCCAGGAATAACATGTCAAACCCTGACTGCTGATTTCCTTGTTCACAAAGCTGTCCTGTAAGCTGCTCTATGGTCAGGCAATGAGGTCACTGGAGGCATTTCTCCATGTTTTCTCAAACTCCTGGTCACAGCATGATGTCAAACTAATCCTACTTCCCACAAAGTCAACAAGAAACAAATATGACTTTTGTAAGCTGTATGCTTGAACCTCTGTAAGCCCAACGATTAGGAGAAGTTTTGACTCACCCGTGTACAATGAGCCTCTGGTTCTTGTGAGCAGCGTGACGAAAACCTTACAAGGAGGAGGCCATGTTTTTCCACCTTGCCTCCATGCTCCAGGTCAGCGTTGACGTGTTTTCCTCCCGTCATTACTGACGTAAATGACCTACATTTTCCCTTTAGGGCCATACATAAGCCAAGAAATTCTGCAAGCTGACAAAAAATATCTGTATGTACTAACGCAGCAGAGTGTAGGAGTGCAAACACACTGTCCAGCAGAGTTGTTTTGTTTTTTACAACTCCAGCTTTGCCTTCATTTTTACATCTCAAACTCAGTGTGTTTAGATTTATTTCTAACAGAAAACACAGGGAGGGATTTACCACCACCCTTTACTTTAATATACTGTAAGAACTATCTGTGTTTTTGTTGACTTTATATACAGATAAGAACATTTAAGGAAATGGTAAATGGACTTAAAAATGTGTCGTGCGTTTCTCCTCAAAGTGCTTTTTCACTGCAGCTCAAAAACTTTCACACATTAATGGCAGAGGCTGTTATGAAGTGTTCATCAGTCATTATTAATCCCATTTACACGCTGCAGAGGAAGCAGCAGGAGCAATCCAAGGTTAAGTGTCTTGCCCAGGGACACATCAGCATGTGGCTGCAGGAGGTGTGGATCAAACCCCAGACCTTCCAGTTGAGCGACGACCAACTCTACCACTAATCCACAGCCGCCCCTGTAAATGGAAAACCACACCAAAAAAAACCTCAGGGAGCAAGCTTTACTCTGTTAGAAAAACTGTAGGGCACTGGCAGACAAGTGGATACCGTCGAATTTCAGTAAATAACCGTAACACAGACTTGCATGTAATAAACCTTAAAAGATACAGAGCAGAGTTTTCAGTCACATTTCATTTAAAAACGTTGTATAATAGTTGGCAAATGTTGATTTAGCAGTTGAAATGTAAATATATGATATGTAAAAGTACATTAAAAACAACATGTCAGGTTAATATCTGTACATTAAGGGCATTTTGATTTACTCTTTCAGGCTGCCCAGTCAGTTTACGACAATTCTCGTACTGAACATGTATGTTGTCATGTACAATCACAAGGGGCGGAAGGTGGAGGTGGTGGTGGTGGTAGGGCGCTCCTCTGTTAGCGACCCACAGTTTGATGTTTTGGGATGATTTTAGGATTTTACATGAACCTAATGGGTGTCAGTGCTTTGATGTTAGTTGACTGTTGAATCTTGAAATCATGTATAAAAACACAATAAGTAATTCAAACTTAAGACAGCAAGACTGCATTGTCAGAACTATAATTTTATACACGGTTATCAATCAGTGAAAAACACATTTTTATTATCTATTATTTATTATTCCGTTTTTCATCAACACAATACAATACATTGTGGATACCTTTTTTTGGAGCTGTATTATCATTTGTTCTGACTTCAAGCTTTTAAACCAATTATAAATCAATAAAACAACCTAAATACTGGCCTCCAGAATATAAAGATATACACATGCAAATAAGGATAGAAATATTGTCAGATGTCAAAATACACTCTGTTCAGGTTCAACTCTAGAAGTGGGAGGGGAAGTTAGTTACTCTATGAAACTTCCCAATCTATCTGTGCTTTCCTTTTGAAGTATTGTATGTTCCATGTACAATAACTACAATATAATATAGAGTTTACTTGGTGAGAAAACCATTGTGCGACTTCAGGTACGTGTGTGTGTGTGTGTGTGTGTGTGTGTGTGTGTGTGTGTGTGTGTGTGTGTGTGTGTGTGTTTGGGGATCCTCCACACGAGCATTCCACCATGTGACCTCGTTGACCCGCCACCTGGGCTCGCTGAGCGGAATTTCCCTCGAAAATAAAATCTGTAGCAAAAAACATTGTACACCTCAGTGCACATTGTCAAATCAAAGGCTCTTCTTTTTCTGGCACGTGTTTAAAAAAAAAATTGACGATGGCGACGAATCAAGAGCACAGCGGTCTTTATTAGATCTTCTGTACATTCTGTTACAGTCGTGCGGTGAGTCAAAATGTGGGTCAGTGTCTTCCTTTACACTGAGCAGGCCACGAGAAGCAAAAAAAAAAAAAGAAAAAGCAAAGTACACTTAATTGGGTTTCTAGACACTGGCTTTGAGCTGTCGTTCCTTCCAGCTGAAATCGGTTTCACATGGCAGAGTTAAAAACATTTCCTGTTGGCAGCGTCTCGGCTTGCGGCTCATTTTGTAGAAGCTGAACAGCTACACTCAAGAAGCCATCACGGAGCTCAGTGTGCTGCTGCTGCTGCTGCTGCTGCTGCTGCTGCTGCTGCTCAGCAGTCATCCAGGGCTGTGTTTGTGCCCCATCACAGCCAGCACTGTTGGCCTTTCTCACATATATTCATAAAGTACAGCCTTTGGGGATTGCTTTGTTTAGCTGCATTAGCTCATCTGTTACAGTAGACTTCACAGATTTTTAATTTGTGAGATATTTGAGACAGATTCATTTCTTTGATTTGCATGTTCCTTTCTACGGTGTACGTATCTGATCTGGTAGGCAAGTTGCTGCATGCAGGCATCCATAAAGTAGTATTGTTTTAAAGTGAACTCCAGCGAGTCAAATTCAATTGATTGAATTTCTTTGCACAACTTCAGGTGTGTCTGATTCCTTCCCTCAGGTCGCGAGTTTTTTGTGGGCCTTTCCAAACGGACCAATCAGAGAGGAGCAGAGATCTTAGCTGATGCCTTCAAGGTGAGTTTAAGAGTTGCTGTGGTTTATACAAACAAGGAAATTGACTTAAAGTGCAAGCATAAATATACATACACACCACCACATAAAATACACACAGTCCTCAACATTGATCTTGTAATTGATATTTTAAACCTGCATAAATCCAATATAACATCAGACTAAGTCCAAAAGACATCAAACTTTCATCACTTCTCTCACTCCACCTCTAACAGTTTCCAGCAGACATAAAGCAACATTTATTCTCAGATTTTCTTTTTGGCCATCAGGCACTTTTCTAATCCAGTATTCACATTTATTTTAAGCTCTTTGGTTTCCAACTACTCCTGAGGTGAATATTCTGGCTTCAACGCTGATAAGGTTACCTAGAATGAACCCAAACAGTATAGTTGTTCGCCGACGCTCTACAGAACTTAAACGTTTTTTTAATACACCTTATGATGTGACTAACTTGCAGCTTGAGGTATCGACGAACCAAAGTGAGTCTTGTTTTGTTTTCTTTAAAAACAAAAAAAAAAGTATAAACTGTATTTTCTGTACACACACTCCTAAACATTGTGTGTTGCTGGAACAAATCAAGAAACTATAAAAACTTGTTCTGTTAGCTGTCTACACTTTGACAAACTGATGGCAGGAAATGCTATGAACCGTTTACAATTTAAAGTTAGGTACAGGAGGAGGCAAAAAGTGTATCCCTCCCACTAACCAGGCATTACTGGTTAGCATTGAATCACGGCTTCATCTGTATTTGTGTCATTGTTTATCAGCGATTGATTCAGTTTAAGTCTCTTTTTTTTGTTTTCCTATGTTAAAGGCAGCTATCAGTAGAACACCATCAGAAACACATGAACGTTATTAATAAAATTCATCACTCAGGGGCCGCGGTAGCCTCGTGGTTAGTGCGTGCGCCCCATGTCCGGAGGCTTTAGTCCTCCAAGCGGACGGCCCAGGGTTGAATCCGACCTTCGGCTCCTTCCTGCATGTCGTTCCCCACTCTCTCTCTTCCGACTCTATCCCCTTTCCATCTCTAAATAAAGGCATAAAGAGCACCCAAATAAACCATTAAAAAGAAATTCATCACTCCTTTTTCTACAAACTTCTTTTTTTAATTTCAAGGTTGTGCTGTTCAAATTCTTTAAGGAAGGAATAATAATTCATAACGAGTGTCATCTCGAGGTGCTTTACAAAAGAGCAGGTGAAACCATTATATCCTTCTTAGACCATACTCATTGTTAACCATGACTCACAGCTGCAGAATGAATAAATACATAACGATCACCAGTCTTATCTTTAACCTAAAAGTCTACATTAGTGTTTCAGTCCCATTCATTTCAATCCTTACTTCTTCAAGTGTTTTTCAAACTGTTCCTTCATAACTTGTGTTGTAGTTAATGACTGTAGTCTGTAGCCTCATCAATCATCACTTTGTTAAGACAAACACACCACACACACTCAGAGACAACATATTCAGACAAAGTTTGATGATTTAGGCATGCAGCCCACAAACAGGGTGAGTGAGGGTCACACACACACACACACAGACTGATTCTATCTCTCATGTTTACTGTTTCACACTGCATACTCGTCTGTGTGTGTGCGTGTGTGTGTGTGTTGCATTTTGGATTTGCTCTGAGAGAGAATATCAAAAGGCTGACTTGAGAGTTCAGGGGTGCATGAAGAGTTCAACACATCACGGTAACCTGAAAGGCCCTCATTGTTGTGCTTCCACCTTCCATCTGTGTCTGGTTCCAATTCCTCATCCTGGATTCCTCAGTGTTTTGTGTTATCGTTGATAAGTCAGGACTTAATGATGCGTCTCTGGGAAACGACACTAGGAAAAATCATTTGAGCGTCCATTATTGTTTTTTTTTTCCGTTTTGTATCAGATTGATTTTTCTAATCGCTGTTGTTTTTTCCTTTCATTATCAAATTAAAGCTCATTTAGTTGCCAGGTTTGTTTATCACTCGGCAAATGTGTACAGATGTTGAAGCCCTTTGCTTCGTGGTCTCTGCGGAGGTCAGGCCAGATGGGGATGTTGATTGACTGAGCACGTTTGGGAAGGAGTGAAATGAAGCGCCAATATGGAGGTCGTTCAGGTCAAGACCAGACGTTGCAAAAGAGCAACCTTTCAGTGCGGATAGAAGTGGGTCTCTTTCTTCTTTCATGCCCTCAGGGATTCATCATGATAAGGAGACAAGTATGACTTTTCTAATTTTACACTCCAAGGGCAACTTCCTGTTTGTGGATAAGGAAGCGAGAAAGTTCAGATTACATAACTCCCGGTGATCTTTTATTATCTCCTTAACAAGCGCCAAGAAAAGAGTTCAGGAAAAAAATCAAGGATGTAGTTATGTACATTTTTCGCATAATGACCTGCCAAGTGCTCGTCTGTTATTCAGATACAATCGCTATTCCAGTGAATGGCTGCACTTTAATTGATCTAATGAAGCCGTACAAATTCCACCCTGACAAGTGTCTACATACGCTTGAATGGAAAATGTCACAGTGGCGTGTTACGATGAAAATTGTACACTATAATTCTTCATTTTCGATCAAGCTTAAGCTATAAAAAGACATTCAAAAACATATTATGTGATTAAGAAAACACGTGGATGTCAGATGGAAGTTATTTTGTCAGGCCTAAACCAGAATTTATGCGGCCATATAAACGTTTTTTTTGTTGTTGCATAGATTCAGGAAGGAAAGGTCTTGGAAGGCAAGCTTAAAGTTTCATATCCCATCATAATTCAAAGAACAGTTCTGTATCACTTCCAGGTTTTATAACTCTCTGTAGGACTCAACTCTGGTTTATGTAATCCTCCAAAGGCTTACAGTATGTCTAAGTGTCACAAACTGTGTACCAAACGCTCAATCAATCAACTCAAAGTGGGAAGTTCTGCCATTCCAGTTAATCAAATCCAAACAAAGTTGGTGGTTAAATGATGTTATTTCAGCAGGGTCTGCTATGCTATAACTTTTAATTCTTGTGAGGGTTTCAACTGGCATTTTAATGAAGGGGTCAGTCCAGAGTCAGCTGTTGAAGGCTTGGAATAAGAATAACATCGCAGAGCTCGACTTCAGACATCAGTCCTTTGCATCACTATGGAGAATTCTTTGTGGGGCGGCAGTAGCTCATTGTGTCAGGGCTTGGGTTGGGAACTGGAGGACTGTCAGTTCAAGTCCCGCTACGGACCAGAGTATGGAAGTTGGACTTGTTTCTGGAGAGATGCCTGGTCACTTCCAGAGTGCTCTTGAGATCGGCAATGGAAGGATCATCCAACAGCTCTGGCGCACTCTCCCTGTTCAGCAGCTGCACTCTGACATCTCTCCATTAATGCATGTTCATACAGAAGGTGCTGTTTGTGCATGTGTGTATTCTGTGTATTCAAACCAAGCTGAAACCTCCGGTCTTCAAAAATGAAGCCAATGCAGAAGTGCAAAATCCTGCAGTTCGTCGATTGTCCGCTTGAGGCTGGCTCCAGGAACCCAGGAAGTCAGATACAATGGACAGGCAAAAAAGCCGTTTTTACAGCATAAATTAAGATGTTTACAGCCTGGTACAAAAAACAAATAGGTCTGATTAGTTATTGTCATCAATGGCACACACTGTATGATACGTTATCCATAGCTAGGCATGTAGCTGATATGATTGACAGTTGGGCGCGATGTAACAGTTCGTCAAGAGCTTTGTGTATATCTCTGTGTATAAAGGACTGTAGATGCAGGCTGCTACTGTTGTTACTTCATAGCAAATGTAATTCCAGTAAAAATGACCCCAGAGATAGGTTTGGTTAATTGAAAACATATTTTACAACCTCTCCTTTGTTCATAAAGCTCATCATATTCTCACCAATTTTCCCGTGTTTTGCAGGACTATGCAGTGTCCACCGTTCCTGTGCTGGAAGGTCTGCACCTGAAAAGCTTCTGCAGTATGGGGGACCGGGCCTCATCGTCATCGGCTCCAGTGAACATGCACAGAAAGCTCTCAAAGTAAGGACTATTCATGTATTGTTTTCTGTGTCTGTGTGTATGTTGTATGTGCTGTAAAAGTATCATCACTTACTCTATTGCTATTCTCCCCCCCCCAGCTGTCATAGATACCCCTGAATCAATGTAGAGGCATTGTTTTCACAACTATGACGCACATTGACGCAGCTGATTTTTTTTTTTTCTTTTTAATTCTCGGGTTGACTCTTGGCTCTATGTTGGTACAAACAGCCCTGTGCTTTTCTCTCTCTCTCTCTCTCTCTCTCTCTCTCTCTCTCTCTCGCTCTCCTGCTCTGCAAAGTATTCCCGAAAGAAAAACACTACAAGACAGGACATCACACGTGTTGATTCAGAGCAGACTCCCTCGCTTCTACAGCTGGATCGCTGCTCCCCCACTGCAGAGCACATCGAAACCACCTGTCACCTTAATCCTCCTGCATTAATTCATATTCTTGGTTAATCTGAGGGGACTGCCCCTGGCGCTCCCACTCCAGCTTCAATTATGAATGTGTTGTCCTGCCATTAAACAGCTTTAGCTCATTACTGCACTGAAAAGAATCGATCGAGCTAACCCTAACCCTAACCCTCGAGCTCCATCGCAACGAAATAACAAATCCGAGTGACTCGACACAAAGATGAAGAAGAGGCAGCTCACACCCTGACAGAGACAGATTTTCACAAAGGGAGAGATAAATCTCAGCCCATCCCTCTGATGGAATTATCCCTAAAAGCCCCAAACATCAACACGTGCGTCTGTGTGGGAACCTTTTTTTTTTTGGACTGCACACATGGGTGAAATGTGGTGGAATATGTAATATAACTAATTACATAAGTATGAAGACTGCACACAGGCAAAAAAAAAAAACAGCCCTGGCCTTGACAGAACCTCACTTGGCAGAGCTTTTCACGCACCTTCTAGTGTTATATCTCCCCCTACTGGCCCAGTCCCACAAAAGGTTACTTTTTTTTATATGAAGTAAGAGTCTGAGTATCTCAGGGGCAATTAAAAGCAGACCATCTGGCAGCACATCCTAATGAAGCCGAGTATTCGACAGCAGCATAAGGTCAGATTGTTGGTTTTGATAAGTCTGTTTGCATCACCCGAAGTGTACACAAGAACTCAAGAAATCCATCAATAAACACACACACACGCTAATTGATTTTGTATACCAGCATCGACTCATTAAGATTCCTGCCTGTTTGATCGCCCCGGTAATTATCTACTGGAGCGAGGAGTGGCCATAAGCGCGACTTAATGACAGGCTGCTCGCTTTCTAATTACGGCTTACATCACCCTCTCCTGCAGCAATTAGCTCCTGTTTAAAAGCACTTTTAACGACCCTGTATTTGTGATTAGGTAATGCTCTCTTTGTGGGGGAGAGTGAGATCTCATGAATGCTGCTTTTTTTTTTTTTTTTTTGGATTTTTGGATGGGGATGCAGCTCTTACAGCTGTGTAGCCTTGGACAGAGACAATATGTACAAATTAAAGTCGGAGCCGGACTAATTCAGTTTGTCTTCAGGGAGTTTTCGATTTTGCTGTTACAGGATATTTTCCTGAGGGTTTAGATGCTGCGATTGCTCCTGTTGCAGTTCTGACACCGTCGTTCTCTGGGATTTCCCTGAATAGATTTCTCTCACAGTACGCCTCAGTGCTCATAATGTGTATATATTTAGACCAGGTGTAGTCTCCCGTCTGTGTTTAGCTCACCCAGGGATGAGGATACGCACCGTGACCGGATGGGGTTTCGTCATCCATCTGCCCCGCTGTCACTGCCAAACTTCACTCATGAAGTCATCATACAGAAATATCGTCTCTGTCAGAGGCTGCGGCACCCCACTCCCTGTTCTTTCTCACACACAGCTCCCTCCCTGTAGTGGTACTCACAGGGAACTCTCTAGCTCCCCCGTCCCCCTTTACTCAGCCCCGTGTTTGGTCCATGAGGTCAGTATTTACTGGTCAGGGTTTGACCATTACCTCAGGATTTGTGCAAACCAAAGACTGAGTAAATATTGGTTATAGCCACCATGATGTCACCCATGGGTTTGAAAACTGCCTTTTTAATTCCTCAAGATCGTTTTTGTGGCCATAACCATTTTTATTTTCTACTTGGAGTAAGAAATCCCCTTTTTGGGATGAGAGGTTGGCACCGGAAACGGAGCTAGGCGTTGGCTAATGCTGAGTTAGCTTAACAGCATAGATGTACACACATAGATGCTGCTTTCTGGCTTGTGAGATGGGTCGAATTCTGTATAATACTGTGATTCTCGACAGTAATGTTACTGTAATAATACTTAAATAAGTTTGAGCATTTCAATATGAAAACCTGTATTTGTAATTGAAGTACCCTAGATCATAAATACATGTGTGACAAAAAATCTGCTTGAAAATTGATTCCTATTTTGATGAGATATGAATATTTGAACTGTGGATAGACCTCCTGCCGTCACAGTGACATTCATTAGGAATAGACGTATTGCTCCTGTGATCAGCAGCAGCATCTAAGTATTTATAGCTCAACAGCCGTAGATATAAATAGACTTTGGGCACAGCTTATGACAAAATCTAATTCCATAGTTAGTGAATGAGCTAAATGAAAGGCCATGTGCAGATAGTCGCGATGTAATACATTCTAAGCACCGACAAGTGTGACTACAGGTCTACAAGTCACACTACCAAAACAAATGTAACAGGGCAGTGGAGCTGTCAATCAATCCAAAATGTCAACATCTGTGCGTGTGTACAAGGCCTTAACCATGACACTTTCACTGAAAGAGATTATACCTGTAATGTCAGCTGACTAGAGATATTTATTAAGTGGCTGAAAAACGAGAACTTTGCAGACTCACTTCTTGAACACCAACATTGTTACGACATGATGCGATACACTTCCTTGTCCCCTTGGTTAAATTTGTCTTGGAAATATGACGGGAAACAGAGCAGTGGGTGAGCAACAGGAATCCAGCTAACTTCAAATAACCACTCGTGGGGGGGGGGGGGCTCTGTACATGCCCCACGTACAGAGGCTGTATTCCTCGAAGTGGGCGGCTCTCCAATAAAGGAACAAAAAGCCCCAAAATCAAATCCAAAATAACAAAATAAAAAAGTAACCAATCTTGTCATCGCTACGATGTGGGACGAAAATAGAATGGTTTTGTCACAGCATGTTGAATGTTTCTATTTTTGTATCGGTCTTTTTTGGCCATATCCTTTTTGATGATGCAACCTCTGGGATCAACAGCTCATATTCCTGGAAGTCTGCTGTAACTAGCAGATTTTCCTACAAGGCTTATGATGATCCCGCCAAAGACACCTTTTCTCTTTGACGTTTAGACGTTTTAAACGGTTAATCGTTTTAAACGAATGTGTTGGCGGTGAAAGACAACATCTACATATTTAATTTCACTTATATGCTGACATCTGTTCACACTGTAGAGATCGATTACAGCTGATGGGCTCTTGGATGGCATTTCGAGCCATGCTTCCTCCTCTCTTTCTCAGACTCTTCACACTCTCTTCAATACCTACTAAGCATTAAAACGTTAAAAAGCCAATTCTACTTACAATCAAAGCGGGAACACTGACCATGCCAGATTCATGTGAACTGTTGGTACAAAAGGATAACACAAGGGAAAGGCCATATAAACTAGGGCATTCGTTTCCCTTCCAATCAAGTCCCTAATTCAGCTGCTGAATCACAGCGTAGCAGCTGACAGCTAAACAGACACGTCTCACACATTGTACAGAATAAGGTGTCTGAATTGTTGCATGTTGTTAACGCACAAGGGGGAGGTTGGAGGGGTCATAAAAATGTAAAGAGTCTTCGGGCACTGCTCTGAAGTGTTTTTCTCAACATTATCCGAAGTTGTTCTGGATGCTCCCCTCCTCTTCATCGTTTCCCATACCTCAGGGTGCATCAATAAAGACTCCACATAAAGCGATTCTGTGAAATGGGTGTTGAGGAGCAACAACACAAACACTTACTGTACATTAACAGGAAGCAATTTGAGTTTCATTTCCCCTCTAGACTTGGAGGCAGCCTCTGGTAGGATTTGTCTTTTCGGAACATGCCGCTGTTGCTCCTCAATGAAAAGATATACTGTCAAAAGTTTTAAAGGCTTCCCGGCAAGGATGACTGTGTTATACATATTCATAGCAGATGGATTGTACTGATGACCAATGGTAGACGGCCTCACGTTTGGTAGATTTTCTTTGTTTATTTGTCAGTTGGTCAACATTGTCATTGCGCAGGGAAGGTTTTATTGCCTTCCAGTAAATATTTTGTTCTGCAGCGATGACTGTACACGTCCTGCTGCCCAGTTAACACTCTGTGGATTATCTGGACCTCAGCCACTGTCCAGAAGGAAGCTGCTGCTGCTGCTGCTGCTGCGGATGGATTTGCTGGAGCTTCATGCTTGGTCAAGGGCCAGGATGACTTTGCAGAAGAACAAGCAGAAAGAGGCTCAAATTTAAGACATATTAGTGGTTCCAGGAAGGTGGATTGATGAAAGCAAAATCCTCTGAGAGTCTCATGTAGAACTGCTTGAAATTATTCAGGTACAAAGATAACCTTAACTTGAGTATTGTTTTGTAACGTTTGTCTTTAAAACCGCTTCAAAAAGCTTCTTATCTGACCTTTTATTGACCGTCTGCACCCGCTGACGATGAACAGAGACCCAACTGTTCCATTAGTCAGGTGATTTTTTCTGAGGATTTAATTGCATTTCATGGATCAGAACTTTACACGCAGACTTTTTTCCCTTCCACACCCGAACTGCTTTCCCCTGCCCTTTCTTTATTGAGGAAATCAGATGTTTGAGCGACGTTGAGTGAAGCAGAAACTTCTGTGATCTCTTGGCGGAGTCAGTCAGCGTTTATTCTCCCTCTCTCTGCCACTCTTAATCCCTGTGTGTGTGTGTGTGTGTGTGTGTGTGTGTGTGTGTGTGTGTGTGTGTGTGTGTGTGTGTGTGTGTGTGTGTGTGTGTGTGTGTGTGTGTGTGTGTGTGTGTGTGAGAGAGGCGGTGTTGGCGGTCACGCACGTGGACAGTGTTTTCATTTTAGGGGCTGCTGCAGTCACCTTAAACACGCACATGTGACCTGGGAATTTGTCTGGTCGGGTTACACAAATACAGTCTTGTGCGCGCACACACACACACACACACACACACACACACACACACACACACACACACACACACACACACACACACACTGGGTTCCAACCCTGCAGCCCTGTGCAGAAAACGGGAGGTCGGCTCCTTTTTTAAAGGCAGAAATTAGTTATTGCAATTAAATGTTGAAAATATTAGTAGCTGGGTGCACGGTGGTGCGTTGGTTAGCGCTGTTGCGTCACAGCGTGGAGGTGCATGGTTCGAATCCCTGCATACAGGACCCCTCACTGGATTTTGCATGTTATCCCCGTGCATGTGTGGTTTCTCTCTGGGTACGCCGCCTTCCTCCCACAGTCTAAAGACATGCTCAAAGACTCTAAAATTGCCCTTAGGTATGTCTGTTTGTTTGTCTCTATATGTCAGTCCTGTGATTGGCTGGCGACAGAGTGTATCCCGCCTCTTGCCCAATAACAGCTGGGATTGGCTCCAGCCCGCCCCCCCTGGATGGGAAAAGTTGTATTGATGATGGATGGCTGGATGGAAATATTAGTGGCTCTTTCAGTTACTTTACTGATGTAATGCCTACTTTTCTTCTTTTTTTTTGTACATTGTTGGATCAGTATTGTGTTGTTTTTTTTTAAGTGCACTTCCCACAGATCGCTGCTCCATTTAATGTGTCCAGTCTTGTGATAATTTTTTTCCCCGGGGACTCTATTTAATGACGGGATTTAATGCTCTTACTAACCAAACAATTGTTCTTCTATTCATTTCCACCAAACAGCGATGCTGCTGCCAGAGAAATAAAATGTGTCACTTCCTTTGTGCCGAATAGATTTTTCCCAGGAAAGCCCAAACAGAGTAATCACAACAGCACATTTGTTGTTGGGTTGGACCAGTTGGTAAAAGACATTAAAACTCTCCCGTTGATGGCCCGGCTCTTCCCTGCAGCCAGTCAGTGGGAGTTAAAACCAAAACATTTTAATTCTTTTGTTCATACAAACCACACATCCTCCACCCATACTTGTACTCGTATATCACACAGTCACAGCAACTCCTCTGTGCTTTATATGTCAAGAAGACGTCACACACTTTTGCTGTTCTGTCATCCCATAAATGGCATTAAATTCATCTCTTGCACAATGCTTCATTTTCTTGCGTGTTAGGAACACATTCACAAACTACAAACAGGAGACAGAGGGAGAAGATGGGGAAATGCCAGTCCAATCATCATTTTGTATAAAGATGAAAAAAGGGACAACTTGCCAGATGTGTGGTGCAACACTGGCATCATTTTGTCTTTGTACAGGTTTTGAAAAGGTCTTAAATTTGAAACCCTACCACCCCACTTAAGGCCTGTTCAATTCCCCTTGTATGCCAAGCGCTCAAAAGGCGATGACAATGCTACATTCACCTCCAGAAACACTGCTATTATCTGCTGCTGGTTCATTGGAGGTATCCATCACATAAAAAATAGGGATTCTGTCTTTCTCAGAAAGCCAGCCTACGAAATACATTAAATGATGTCATGCATTGTTTTTATTATTATTTGGTAGGTTTTGTTCACCCTGTCATACAATCCATGTGTTTGACTTTGAGCTGTATTTTTGTTTTAATCAAATGTGTTTTATTTTCCCCATTTATACTATGCATTTGTATGACATTTGTTAAATAAAATCTGTATTCTTCATTATTTATTCTACAAATTAGTACGGGAAAACGATCAAAAGAAAATGGACAGAGTAGCTCTATATCTGGTGAAAATCTCACTTCCAAAAATACCTTTCCCCGAATGTTGACTCTTCATCCTTTTTTCTTTTTCTTTTTAACACATTTCCACCTCCCCTCTCTCGTCTCGTCTCGGAGGTATCCGTCCGCAGATGTTCTTCTCATAAACATTAAGAGGCACCTGTCTCTCCTCTGGTCATAACATCCTCCAACCCCCCTGACTTCCACTTGGCAACATGGGCGTCTTCTCAGCCCCTCCCCCCGCCGTCTGTCCCACCTATACACCTCCTTCAGATTACATAAATAACATGACATCTGCTGAGGAGGAATGTCCGTCTGCTCCTGTGTTCTCCATTAAGCCCCCCAGACGGAGAGAGAGAGAGAGCGATTCGGTCCAAAAAGATGTGGTTCTTTCTTTGGTATTTCAGTCTTCTGCCTGATAATCTGTCTTACAGTTCTGTGGACTCCATCAGCCTGCATGCTGTTTATTTATCAAAATGTCTCTTCTATCTTTGGGTGTAGATCATGCAGCAGATGAGCGACCATCGCTATGACAAGCTGACTGTGCCCGATGACCTCGCTGCCAACTGCATCTACATGAACCTCCCCGATAAAGGCCATGTGCTTCTGCACAGCACAACAGAGGAGTTTCCAGAGAGTGTCAAGGTAACGCTCGGCTCACTGCGAATCCATGCACACTGACTTTGTCTCACACGTTCGTTTATACAATCCTGAGGTCCTTTGGGAGGAACCAACAGCGTCAGGGACAGGCAGGCTGGTTCAGTGGCTAACATTTAAAGATCCCTTTCTTTTGTTGCTCTGCGTCCCGTCCAGACCTCTGAGACAAACAAAGTGGCTGGAGAGGGAAACCCTGCAGAACTAGTGTGGTCGTTCAACACAAACCACAGGCAGCAGTTTGTGTGTTTTTATTTTAAACAAAGGAACCTGTAGTTTCATGTGAAGTGGTGTTTTGTGGGCATGACTCAGACTCTTTTCCCCACGTTGAATAAAAAAAAAAAAGTCCTTAAAGCTGCTATAACCAATGTCATATAATTTTCTGATTGTTATTTTGGAAAGGGCCTGCCACTTTACTGTTAGTTCAATCTCGCTGCACTCTTTAGTGTCCTTCTTAGACATTTCCCAAATCACCCCCCATTGACAGCACCCTCGTTCTACCTTCCATTACAGGTTAGCAAAGTTAGCTGCTAGCTAGTTAACAAAGTGGAGCATTAAGCAGCTAAGGAGCTAAGATAATTCACTTCAGGATGTTTAGACTTCTAACCACAGCTTCCAGGGACAGACACGTAGCTGTCGGATGAATAATCTCACAAATAAAGATGGATACTAATGGTTTTTTTTTTCCCTGTTTTTGCATGGATGTGTTAATATGCCACTTGCTAACATGTTGACGGACTCGACTTGTGACTGTTCTCGTATGCTAATGCAGTTTTTATAGTGTCCCTACTTAATGATAAAAGTCAAATATATGAGTGTTAGATGGAAAAGAAAAGACTCTTGATGTCTGGTTACTCACTTGGAAGGATTTCAGGATTCTGTTATTGGAGCATTCAAAAAGAAATCTTGGATGAAGAGACTAATTCAGACGAACAGTTGAATTGTTGCCCTCTGTGCTTTCTTAGGAACTATCCTCCAAGCATGTCCTCTTTGTGAAAGTGTTAATTGTTGAATGCTGTTTTTGATAAACCTGTCTACAGCCATCTCACAACATGGACACAAATCACTGCATGAACACGTGATGTTCCTGTATTTCTTTTAGAAACACAGACGTACTCTACTTGAAATGCCTCGCTGATACTTTCCACAGTAGCCCACCGGGAACGACGTGTTATTGTCTCACTTTGCCTTCTGGGGTTTGGAAAACACTGAGCGGTAACCGTGTTATTTTGATCCTTTGGGGGTGACTCCACTTCACAACAAGTCGAAAAGATTCTCACGGGATCGAACACAGCAACCCTACAATCTGCGGAGACAGCGCTCAGACCTCAAAATGTACTCCGTGGTTGAAACCCCAACCTCCAGCTGCTATTTTTAGAAGGAAGAATTCACAAGATGAGGCATCTTTGGACTCACATTCGTGCTGGAGGCTTTGTTTTTTTTCTTCCTGAGAGACTGACTGAGGGAATTCAACTTGGCAATAATAAAAATCTATAACTCATGCTTCCTCTTTTGGTGGCACATTTGGACCATATGGAGCAGAATCTGAGAAATGTGGGTTTGTTCCATGAACAGTTTTTATAGAATTCAGACCCAGCAGAAAATTGGCCTGGAGTCTACTTTATGGTCCAAACCGATGTTTAAGAAATTGTATCTTAAAGAAAGTGGGGGGAAATGAGGACAAGACATAACATAAACAGCATGTAAGTAAGGTATGTGTTTTATGAGTTGAGCACCATGCTATGTTGTAGAGTAATTCTGCAGTTCATACATGTTTCCTAGGGGGATTTTTTCTTGTTCCTCTATAGAGGAGTCCAGATTTCACTTCATTCTGCACGATTTCTGCAGTTTTCTAACTCTAAACATCAGCTGTCCTAATCCCCGGTCTATTTTTAGACCGCTTATGGAGTTATATAAGAGTTCCACATTAACAAAGGCGGGGGGTGGGGGTCATGAGAGAAGAGTGGTGGGGTCGGAGGGGGGCGGAGACGGGGGCATCTTTAATGGGCAGCAGTGGCGACGGCTCGCCAGTTCTCAGTTTAAAGATAAAGAAAGCGAGGAGACAGAAAGCCCAGTGAAAAACAGGAGTTCCTACTGTGTGGGACCATGCCGGTCCAGCATATAAATCTCAACCGCAGTAATGAGAACTCGGCTGGAAATGTTCAAAACAAGAGACACTTTGGAGGTAGAGATGCTATAAACAGCAGGGGATTTACTGATGTTTTGGAGGAGTTTCACAAAAGCACAACTTTCCCTGAGTTGACCAACTGAACACGGAGCCTAGCTGAGGTTTTTTTTCGGATGGTTTGGCCAAATGCTGCCCCTGAAAACTCAAAGATTGTAAAAATCAATCACGTGGTACCTGATTTGACATGCTCTTATCGACCTTGTTGGACACAGGGTTGCAAAATCACCAACTTGGCAGGCTGCAAGGTTCCCAAAACTCACAAGGTTTTCAACAAGGTTTTACCAGAATATGATATGGGCTTTATGAGGCCGATATCAATATTGGGGAGGAGAAAAAAATACTATATCGGCCGATATCTTTCTTAGATCTATGTCCAATCTGTAGATATAGATACACACATTTATATATATTGCGTTAACCCCTAAATGCAGTTATCAAACACTTGTGGAAAACTATATACAGTATAATGAAGACAAGATGGTCACTCAGCTGTAGTTGTAATCCAAATGGCACCCTCTGCTGATGACAGAGAAACTCAAATGAAATGCTTTTTAACTTGTGCATAAATCTAGTAATATCGATATCTGGGATCAAATTAGCCGAAACCAATAGTCACTGGATATGTTAATATTGGCCAATTAATCGGTCGGGCTCTAGTAATGATGGAAGAGGACGTTGTCAGTTGGCTGGTCTGGGAGGATTTCATGACTGCAGGGCAGAGGGAGACTCAGGATGTGGTTTCCCCCTCAGGCATGATTCTGCCCCGAGCTGATCGCGGCCCAGACTGTGCCTAGAATTAGACGAACAAGATGAAGGGATGGGGAAGGAGGGGGGGATGGATGAGAGTGTGGGTCGTAGAATTCCACAGGGGTGTAGGGGGATGGTTCGGCATGTAAGTAGGCGATGTCAGGTGATTGAAGGTGTTGTTTAGGTGTGGTACCGCTCCAGAACCAATACATTAACTCCATTTAGGGATCTCTTAAGTCATCTTGTGTTGTCAAGTCAAATTTGGAATTCATTTAATACCTTAGAAAGAGACTGAATCTGACTATCTGTACATGAATGTGAACACAGTACTTAAGTTTGGGACCAAATACTGTGGGAACATTGTATTGGAGAATTCATTGAGCCCATATTTTAAAGTTTAATAGATGTGATTGTGCAGATCTATTCAAACTCAAAGACTGCTCTCATCCGGACTCCTAACAACATTACACAGAATGTCTCAAGTGTGATAAGGTAAAAGAGTTCATTGTCTTTAAATATGGCGACTGGATCACCAGTGGCTTCGTCAGCCATATTGCATCATGAGATAAGAATTTGTTTAGTTGGCCCCTCTAACTTTGCCGCGGGGGCCTCGCTCGGTATAACAGCAGGGTTAAAGTGAGAGTTTAAAGAAAGAAGAAAAAATATCCTGGTTTGGAAGTCGATGTAGGAAAACACTAGTTTTCTTCTGGAAAATGTCCACAGGGTGACACACTACTTTACGAGGGTCTTTGGAACATGTCGTAATAGTTCTCACTCCCATCATTTTTCAGGTTTTTTTTTGGTTTTTGCCGAGCAGGAAGCGTCCATGAATGCTTGTTCTCCTACTTCACATTTTGTGTCAGGCTGCAGGAGCTTCAAATCACGGCGCATTTACAAGTTGACAGGATGGGTAAACAAACGTCCAGAAAGTGTTGCATAAGTTCTCACTTTCAGTTTAACTACTGCCGGTTGAGCTGTTAGTCAGCCTCGTCTAATTAGCTCAGAGTAATGCTGGCTGGCCAATACCTGCTGGCTCCCACACCTGGTACCCGCGGGTGGAGACAGGAGGTAGGCATGCCATGGCTTTGTCTTTTATGTATTTTGAAATGAATGATAACGTTAATTGTAGTATGAATAATCTTGTCCTGATTCTTATTGGCTGCAGGATGGCCATTATTTTCTGACAATGGGATACCTTTGAAATAAAAATGTTTGTTCACTGTTCTAAAATGAAGCGCTGGACATACATATCAGCCTGTGTCTAAAATGAGTAACCATAGTAACAGGGGCCCAGTGAAAGCCTCTGTTTTCTAATTTATGCTCCTCTTTTTCATGCTAATATCTTATTACCACAAATTCGGGGAAATTCAACTTCATGTTGTTTACTGTTTAGACAAAGTGAAAGCTTTATTGATGTGGAGGAAGCTGAAAGATGAGAAATTGAAGAAGGAGAAACTTTTGTTATGTACAACTCTAAGGGCCTGATTCACTAACAATGGATTGTAGCTGCTAGTCCAAAATGGTGCATCATTTGCTCCAGCTATCTGCACTGTTTTATGGTATTGGGTCATGAAGTATACTGTAGGTCTAGTGATATTTGACTGTTTTATCCACATGAAGATGATTCGCTAGGGTGGTAGGAGAAACATTTTCAGGGTTTAATTTGATACAAGACTTAAACATGTAAAATGATTAGAGCACAGCTTCCTCTCAGAATGGAGCAAGCTAAGAGAAACTCAGAAAAGAAAAAAGAAAAAAACTCACAAAACCACGTGCGTAACGGTTCCAGACCATTTCCACAGATGTGAAAGTGTCGAGTGGCTCAACACTTACATACAGACAATTAATTTTTGAGTCATACAGAGGCGGAATTGTTATCCTGATCACTGGAAAGTGTGCACGTGACATGTCTTCTAAATACTGCTGGTCTCAGCAGATGATTTCTGCTGCACTCTAACGGCACGTGGTTCTGCCAGTGTTTGTAAATTGGCCGCTTTTTTTTGCAATGATACTTATTTGCATAGAAAGGGGAAAGTTTTTCCTCAAATTACTGTTTAATGATTCTTTTCAATATGGAGTATGTATGTAGTAGTAGTAGTAGTAGTAATATGCACAACCAGCACTGCCTCAGAGACACTTGTTTGCTCTGCAGTCCAGTTTTGGTTGCATTTAACACCTTTGCATGTGTTTTGTGAATTAGTCTGTTTGATTCATTGGCACAGGTTTAGCAACCGCTCGGGGCCCCCAGGCCAGTAGGGGGCCCCCACACGTCGACAGAATTTAAACCACTGTCAGTTTTTAATGACAGAACCCCCCTAAGGTTGTCCCATCTGACAGCACTCACTCTTGTTGCACTGTTGTAAATGAAAGTCCCCGGAGGTAAAATGAAGGGTTTTATTGTTCTTTATATATATATGTGTTTTATATATATATGTTAATGTACAAAATCTGTAAAAACTTTATTAAAAGTTCACATTTTGCTCATTTATGACATAACAGTAATGAACACTGAATTTATGCCGAGGGCCCCCACAGACTCTAGAATCCCCACTGCCTGTTGTGAATCAGTTCCTGGGTGTTGTCCTTCAGTACCTCTGAGCACCACAGGAGGGCGCCTGTAACACAAGATCCAGGAAGTACACTACCCCTTTGAACTTTATGATACTATGGATAACTTTCCATTTGTTATTCATCTTGCTACTTCAGGCTCTGGCACACAGGAAATGAACAAAATTCATTGATACAGAGAAAATGCCGAGGCAAGTTAGCTAGCTAGTCTTATTAGCAAACTTACTTTCAAATTTGATGTACTTTAAGTCGACTTTACCCAATGTGAACGATTTGAATCTTGCTAGCATACCGATATCCTTCTGGCTTCTAGCTTAGTAAAAGCCTGAGCCTTGCAGAGGAGGAATATCTCCAATGTCAAGTTGTAGCTAAGACCCCATCTATTTACTGGAGTAGTAAACAACGTTTCCATATGGACAGAGAGAGACTTTGTTCAGGTCTCAGTCAAACAGTTAAGATTCATCTTTAAGCAGCTGGTCCATGGTATACGCTGGGTGATGTAATGTATGATGTACATTTAGGAGTTGGCCGTTATCGGGACATTATGTCACTTTTTCCACTGACGTTCTCACTCGTGTGTCCCACAGGTGTTTGAGAAGTTGAAGGACCACATGTTGATCCCCGTTTCCAACATGGAGAAGGCGAAAGTGGACGGAGCCCTCACTTGCTGCTCTGTACTCATCAACAAGAAGGCCAACATCTGAGCACGCTCACCAGGGGGTCTCTCAGTGTAATGGTAACCGAGCGGACCCTGAATCCAACCACCAAGGACCCCAGTCATATTAGACTGGATATTAGATAAGGGAGTTAATTTACATTTAAAGGTCTTAAAAACTGTGTGAATAGTTAGTTTGACAAACAAAGGCAGATAATCTTAGGTTAGTGTTGTCACTGTAGGAATTAAAAAAAAGTGATTCTTGATTTGGATTTAAAACATTTTCATAAAAACACAATTATGAGGCAATAGTCCGGGCTTTCAGGATGCATAATGGATAATCATTTCTGTTCAAGGGTTTGCTACTTAAAAATGAGTGTACCACTAAAATACAAATCTAATTAACATCGAATGTGAAAAAGGGAAAGTTTGATCTAAGATCAGAAGAGGAGGAGACCATGTGCCATTGGGTAACCCCCAATTCCCAGACCCAACCCTGAACTTGTGGTGCCCCCGTTCTGTGTGTAGATCCGTGCTTATTGCTCCATGTATTACAAAAAGAACCACAAATAACAGAGCACTGGACCAGCCAAACCACATGGATCTGAGATATGTAGCGCCCCCCCCAATCAAACAAGTACCAATCTGCAATGCAGGTTAATGAATTAGATACCTAATACAGACGACGTATACAGTCGGTTTATACTGTTTATATGCATAGTTTTAACTGTCGTTATATTTAGTGTGTATTTGGTTAAATTATCCAAATGCTACTTGTTGGTAATGTGATTTTCAAGAACTGTATTTTGAAGTTGAATGAGATAATCCTAATACTGCTGTAACTTGAAAACCTCAATGATTCTTTAAAACGTGTGTTAAATTGCTGACTATATATGTCATGACGATACAGTATGTTCAAACTACCAGCTCAGCATTGTGTAATTCTGAATGTGCATGGCCTCACTGTCTAACAAATACAGTTCTTGAAATGACTTCTAAAGGGGCTTTTGGTATTGATGCAGCGCAGCCGGGTGTCATTGTGATTTTTCTTTATGATTTTGTGATTGGTATTGAAAGTATTGCCAATGAGACCTGAGGTGCTCTTGCTTTTCATGCCCATTACGTATCATTGCTATTGATTGTAACAGTATTGGAGACGCCACCAGCCAGAGACGCTAGCTGTAATCTGCATGTTAAAAGCTTCCTGTGATGTAAACAAGAAGTGTTTGTAGCCTTTTGGTTTCGTGGTGAAGCTCGTGCAGCACACATCCGTTCTCTCATACACCAAATTGCTTGTTGGAAAAGTCTTCTGAGATTCGGTATAATATTCACTTTGTAAGTCATGGTGCCATGGGAGGGGCGTCACAAAGTATATCCATCATTTTATTGTAATGTGGTCACTCCTGGCTCCACAAAGCCAACATTGAAATGGCCAAAGTGCTAATTTGGGTCTTCAAAAGGGGCGTTTAAACAATGGCTGACATGACGGTGGCTATCTATCTAAGCTCTACTTTGTTCCAGTGTTAAACCTCTTTTCCTTGAATTCCTAATGCCTTTATTGAAATTCTGTTGCCCTACCTGTTAAACTAATCAGAATGCCTTGTAGTTTCACACCATTGCTTCTGCCCTGTGTTGTTGGCTCTTTTTATTTTCCTCTCTGGCAGCTTTTACTCCAAAACTGCCCGTTAAGAGCACGCTGTGAATCTGATGTCTGCTCCTCTAAATCCAATCCCAGCAAATGTGACTGCAGCGAGAGTTTGCACTCAGCATGCACGACAAGCTTACTGCCCCTGTCTGCTGTGTTTCCATGCGTGTTCACAATCCTCTCTGCCAGCAGGAGTTTAAAAAGGAAGTCGATGTGCTTTTTATGGCCTTTAATTCTATTGTCGCCGAGGGCAGTGTGCACACTTAACGTGTAAAATGATTTGAAACGGTACATGCTGCAGCCCATCACTCCTGAAACCATGTTGTGTCTCAGTGTGATTGTGAGTGAAAGTTGAGGAAATGACATCAGGAGGTGATTCAGCCTCCCTCTGCAGACGTTTGTGTGTATGGACAAGCGGGCAGTGGTGATGAAACGCGGAAAGAATTCCTGCTGGGAGGAGAGGCTTGTACACCAGTAAACACTGACTCTCTTAAAACTTTCTCTGTCTGACGCTGACTCTCTCTCTCTCTCTCCCACCCTCTTATATTGCCTCATACTCAATCTGGGCAAATTTATGGCCATGATATCATACAGTCTGGCAGACACACTGTAGATGTGATGGCCATGCCGTTAAAGTGTGACAGTAGCAGTATATTTTACAGGAGGCGTTTGGCCGGGTGCAGGGTGATAACATAGTTTGCAGAGCGTCCAGTTCCAGAAACCTCAGCCATAAGAGGCCACGGCGTACAGAGTCAAAAAAGTGGATCTTGGGCTTTTAATTTTTATACTTCAGCCCCAAATCACCTCTATGCTGTACAGTTCCCATGATTTAAAGTTAGAGTAACATTTCATAAATTTTTTGGCTGCAGCTGGCTAGGCTGAATGTAACCGCTCCTGAACACGTGTGCCGACTTCGTTGAGGGCTTTTTGTTTTTGTTTTTATCCTCGGAGTAATCTCCAACACTCATCCCGTCAGTCATTAATGTTTCCTTTTACCTTTTGTTCCAACTCAGGTCTCTTGGTTTTTCCAAACAAATTGTGATTAATAATGATTTGAGTCATTTGAAATTGAGCCTTCTGTTTACTTTGTGAAATAAATTAACATCTCGCATTGAACTGTGTTGCTTTTTTTTTTTCAACTTAGGGTAATTTTTTAAAGTTTTGACTTTCAATGAGAATGTTTAAGAATACGAGACTTCTTTAGGTCATTCAAATCTAATCCTTCTGTCATTTTTATCTAGTGTTGAACACAGTGTTGTCACAGAGAGACTTACTCACACTGTAATAATCCTTCTCTGCTCGTTGCTCTCTGCTACTACCTAGTGTCAACAGATGTGTAACACAATCAAATTGATTTTGAGGAAAATGCCAAGAAAAAAACAGCTTTCAATTTTTATTGCATAAACATTTAAACCCTCAACACTAAATATTGTAACAAAAAAAAAATCAGTGTCCATTGTTATCTATTGTTACATTGAAGGAGAGGACGATTAAATACATTTTTTCTTACATTTCTGATTAATGACATATTTCAAGCCACCGTTAATTGTGAGTAAATAGAATTAAGGTAATTTGATATAAATCCACACAACATTTAATATAAATGTAATATAAATGAGAAGTTATTCTCAAACAATAACAAAAAAATACATTTATATTTTACACAATTTAATAGGATCTCTTCCAGACTAAAAAAATAAAAAATGTGCCCAACAGCTAATTTGGACCAAAGCTTACATATTTGCATATAGCCTACAGTAGGGTGGCCATATGTCCTGATTTGAAAGAGACAGTCCCGTTTCCAAGCCCTATGTCCCGAGTCCCCCCATGCTTATGATGCAGTAAAAATCCATATGTACATTCATCGTATTTTACAATGAGTCCTGATTGAAAGAATATATACAACAAATCTGAACCAGTGAAATCAAAGCACACTTGTTCATTTAGCTACAAGGGAGATTCGTATAGATGTTGCCTGGACCCCTCACAGCCATTAGCTTGCTCTCAAATCTGTCTGCAGGCTCAGCCAGAGGCAAGTACGAGTAGTTCAGAAATTTGGCGCTGGTGCATGATGGGACAGAGACTGAACATTCGCTGCACGCAGAGGAACATGTCTGGATGAAGTCATCTTTCACCGCCGCCACTTCTTTCTCTCCGACCTGCTCGCACACATATTTGTTTCCCTTTGGAGAGAGAAAGATGCTGTCTTTGTTCAGAGTCACATAATCTGGAAACACTTCAGTCCCGGGACATTCGTTTGCCTGTTCTCTGCCCGAGAGGTCGCTTTCTGTTGACAACAACTGGATCGATTCCTCCTCTGATAGCTTCTCCAACACAGACACCTCATTTTCTGACATAATCTCCACCAGGGATGAGGTGGTTTCTTCGGTGCAATGCTTCGCTGTCATTGGTGGATCCTGTGGAGTGAGTATAAAGTGAAGTCATTATTAACACAGAGGTATGTAAATAGGTGCTAGAATTGTGTTTAATCTTGGCTCTATTTTTATCCCAATTAGCATTTGGATCTATGGTTTTAATCAGTGATGGCTTCATTTGATTTTTTCCACTGACAAAATAACTTCTTCATCCCAATATACATCTTTGTTTATTTGATGTAAGAATCAGATATTAACCATATTTACGTGGTTAAATAATTTACCCATTTCTGCCCATTGATCTCTGTCAGAAAGCCCTGTAAGACTTTGTCAAGGTTGGGCACTGGCGGCCAAAAATACTGTTTCAGCTGTCTGTAAAAAAAGAACACATAAAATAAAGTGGGATTAGTCAAACAATGAGCAACGGGTAAAATCCTACATTTAAGGAATTGGTTAGGAGCTTGAAAATGTTGTTATATATCAAATATTTTTCATTTGTACGGTTTGTTTTCAGTTTTCATTTTCTTTATTTATTAAAAAGAACTAGCTGACAACAGAGGCGTGTCCAGACTTTTTTGACTGTGGTTGCCCAACTGGGCCACAAACAAATATGAATTATTTACGCTTTCCAACATCTACTTTATAACACAAGATAATTAGTTTCCACATAAGTCCCACCTCTGACAGGGCTAATAGCATTTTTTCCACACATTTTGGATTTTTTTGGGTGGCCAATCAGATTTCTCAGGGGGCCCACGCCACCCCTCTGGACACGCCCCTGTCTGACAACAGTTTGAATGAGCTGGAAAACAGTCCTACCTGTGGTACGCGTAAAATAAGATCATGAGGATGATGAAGGCTATCAGCACAAAGACAGGCATGCACAGTAACAGCAACTGGCCTGTAAAGATCATTTTAAAAAAATGTTCAAGGTCAAATAGTTCTCTTCATTCATGGTAATAAAGAAAAGCATGTAATAGCTGTTTATTGTTTCAATGCATGAAGAATACATCACAACCCATGTTATGACAAAATCAATAGATAAAGGAACTTAGTCTGCAGCATTCTCACAAGTTATCACACTTTCTGCTCGTCATTTTTATTCAAGCAACAAGATATTTCTAAATCTATAATAATTAATAATTTATATGATGAGGGCTTATTTTTCCTCACTGACTTTTGAGTGTCAGCTAACCTTTGTCTGTGGGTGCATCACCGGTGAGCACATCAGACCAGTCGCTCCAGTGGCCTGAGTAAATGGACCCATTGGGTTTAGCTCGGAGCTTCACACTGTACTGATGACCTGCAGGAACATCCAGGTATGTGCTCGTCTCCGGACCCTTTAAAAGCCTCGTCTGCAGACAGAAAGTCGGTTTTGACATCGTTATGGAAATGTCTCTGATGATGCTCTTTTTTTGTTTTACTTTTTTATTTTGTTCCTTAATGGATCAAGTTGTAATTTTTTTTTTTTAGAATCTGATCTTGAAACTTGACACTATTCAAGAACTGAAAATTCCTCTTTGGTGCCATCTGCTGGTAATATCAAGAATGACAGTCATATAACAGTCTTCAGCCATTATCATAATTCAAACACAAGCATTTGCCAATAATTCAAAAGAGACTTTACTCAGATATAATGCAAAAAAAAAAAAAAATTAAAAATAATGACTCAATTGTTGCTTCACATTAGATAATGAACAAAGAATGTCAAACTGAATGGGCCTTTGATGAAACTTTACCATCCACTCTTCACTCCCTCTGATGTGGTAGCCGACTTCATACTGCAGGTGAGCCGACAGAGACGGGAGAGGAGCTTCCCATTTCAAACACAACTTGTCTTCCTGCACTGCTGCTTTTGGATGACTTGGCGGGGATGTTTTAACTGAAAACATAAAGTACACATTAGTAAAGTGGATCTCATTGAGGAAACACAGAGGCAGGAAGCTGTCATGAGAAAAATGCAAACCAAATTAAAAACAGTTTTTTTATGATACAGCTTTGTTGTTTATTGGCAGTGTTAATTATTATTAGTAGTATTATCATCTGTAGCTCAGTCTGGGGTGGCTGTAGCCCAGTCTATAGGGACTTGGGTTGGGAACTAGTTGCCGGGTCACTCCCTGAGCAATGCCCAGCTTCCCGTGAGCAAGGCACCAAACCCCCAACTACTCGGGCGCTTTCTTCACTCTTACATCTCTCCATTAGTGCAGGTCCAGAGGATCCTGTTGGTACATGTGTGTGTATCATGTCTCAATAACACAGTGTAAAAGTCATTTCCCCTCATGATTTTAAAAAAGTTTGTAAAGTAGGCTGCTGAAAAACATTGAGCTTAAATTCTTATCTAAGTTGTTAAGAAGACTATTTTAAGTCTTCCCTTTTCAAGAAGCCATCATATCCCCTGATGCATGACTTTTTAAACTAATGAAACTAATGGAGTTAGAGAGGACGGATAAAAAAGAAGAGAATCAGACATCACTCACTGCTCTTGTTGAGGGTAAACTTCTCAGTGTAGAAAGTTCTGCTGAGAGAAGTTGCAGTGCTGATGAGCTTCACCCTGACTTTATTGGACTCGTCACCGTAGAAACAGCACTTGTCAATCAAGTCCCGCTCAGCGAGACACTCGGTCCACTCGGTCCAGCCCAAACCTTTACTGTGGGAATCATAAAATCGTCATGTTAAATCAGTCAGTTGTGTTTTGATGAGCTTCAACACAAATGTCTCAACATTTTATTTTTTTAATGTTTTGGTCGGTATACAATGTGCTTTTGTTGCTCAGTGTTTCACAATGAGTCTGGTGTTTTTTGATTGTTAGTCACAGTCGGGTCTTAAGGCAAAATTAGTTATTATCATTATCAATTAATCTGCTGGTTTGTTAAGGATAAAAAGATTCATCTTTAAACCTCCAACATGTCCAAAAACCATTAAAAAATAACATCCTTCTATTCCTGAACTCCCAGGGTGAGTATTTGAACTTTCTTTCTTGTGTTTAGTTGTTGGTTATTCCTGTTTTATTTTGTAGTACTTGCCCCTGTGTTTCATGTCTTGCTCTATTACCAGCGTTTGTGTTTTCCCACCTTCGTTATCATGCGCCCCTGCCCTCCAATGGGCCTCACCAATATCTTCTTCAGAATTTTCCTAAGATTTCTAAGAAGACTCTCCGTCAGATTCCCCAACGTGTTCTTAAACGACTGAATTGTTCACAGCTGTGTTCTCATCTCCTTGTGTTTGTGAGTTTAAAGCATTCGTCTGCTGTTCCCAATTAGCACAGGTCATGCTAATTGGGAACAGCAGGCACTAATGCCCATAAAAGGGCATGAGTGCAGTGATTGTGTGCTCTACTCTCATTTTGTTCACCTGTGTCTTGTTAGTCACACCTGTCTTGATTACCTCAGTGTGTATTTAGCCCTAGTCCACATATAGGCGCTTATCTTTCAAAACTGAGGTTTTCCTCCCCTATTTAAAATAAAAAATAAAAAATAAAAAATAAAAACACAAAACGCACTGTTACGGCTGTCATGCCTAGTCAAAAACGATGTCCTTGATGTCTACAATGAAAATTTCATTTGACAAAGTTGTCCATTCAGGAACCTCTGCTTGTCAACGTAGTGGGAGAGTAACTGTGTGTGTGTGTGTGTGTCAGCATGTAGAAAGTCCAGTTAGCAAAGTTAACAGCAGCACTAGTTTGGATACGTCTGCTAACACACTTATCTGATGTAAAAGTAAGTGTCAGCGTTGCACAGAAACCGGCGCACAGTGTGACATTAGAATCCAAAAACTTAGTTTTCCTCGTCTACACATAAACACCTTAAACAGAGTTCATGAAAATCTTCACCCTGAAAGGAGTTTTCCAAAAGGTGACTTTTCAGTGACCAAAAACCTTAGTGTCTGTGTTTCCTTGTTAATTGTTTTGCACCAATACACCAAGTCCAATTCCTTGTATGTGTAAATGTACTGGGCAATAAACCCTGATTCTGCCATTCTGTGTCAGTCCGTTGTCAGTCCTTCACCCTTTTCCTCTTTCCTTACAATATTTGAGTTTCATGTTTTAGCTTGTGTTTGTTTTTGTGGATCTTGTTTGCTTTTGGAGGGTTTTGACTTTGAAAAATAAATCTTTTGGTTTTGGTTCTTGTCTTCGGTTAAATACATTATTTTTGGGTGTTTTCTGCACATGGGTCCTCCCTTTGTTTAATCTCCATCGATGTTTTTTTTTGTTGTCCAACCAGCAGTCTAAATGACAATACAAGTTGCAAATCATAAAATGTTTATGCTGACACAGTGTAAATAATTTTTCAATGAAGTGGGCAAAACATTTTCTTTGGATTTATTAGTCTAAACTCATAAAACATGTCATCACATTAATGATATAAAATGAGAAATGTACCTGACACCCATCTGGTAGAAAAGTTTGAGCTCCATCTGATCATCATATCTGCTCCCATTCCACTGGCAGGTGATATATTTAAGATCAGAGGTGAAGCACATCAGTGAAATATCATCTAAAAATTATTGAAAACATATCGTCCAATTACTGTATTTATGACATAGAAGGTGATATGAGACGGTATGGATACATTTCTTAACCCAAACTCTTCATTGAGTTATCCTTCAACACTTTCCTGACCTGAACTTTGAGGAACCACAGCCCACACAGGATGTGACCAGCTGCTCCAGTGTCCAGCATCGTGATCATAAGCACATTTTACTCTGATCTGCACCTTGACCTCCTCCCCTGGTACCAGAAGGTCCAGTACGTCCCCTTCCTCTACCTGCGAACAATCAATACCTTTTATAAAACCTTACACAACCCTTTTTTAACTCACTTTAATAAACACCACAAGTCTGCAGGAAGCAAAAAGTCGGCTAACTCGAATTATTTTAAAGGTTTTATAACTATAATCATGTTCTACAGAGTAGGGGAAAAAAACGGTGAAAATCGATGTCATACAACTTTGTCCTGTTGATTCATAATGTCTGAGTTCAGAAAAACTAAGTGACAAAGTGTAAACGTTGTATGTATGTACAGTATACCTCCATTTTTGTCTTCTCTCCGAGTCCTTTAGAGGAGTATTTCATTTCGTACATCACTGTATCGGCGCAGTATTTCAGGACCGTTGAGCGCCATGAAACCTGCAGCTGTCCTGGTTCACCATTTTGATGTAGGGACACATTAAAGGGGGATGCATCAGAACTACAACACCAAAAACAAAAAAAAAGGTTCATAATCAATTAGTGATAATTTACTTGTGTTTTAACTTTTACCACATTTACATGGCAGCAATTTGACTCTGTCGTCATGGTCAGAGTGGGAAGAGAAGCTCAAATGTTTTTATAATGTTGTACAGTTGAATTCAAGGTTTGCATATTTTATTTAGAAAAAGATCAGGATCAACACTATTGTAAAATAGACAGTGAATATTTTAAGGTTTAACACATATTTGATCAAATTAGCAAACCAATGGGGCGCTGGTGGCGCAGTGGTTAGTGCGAGCGGCCCCATGTATGGAGGCTATAGTCCTCAAAGCTTAGCTAAATCTTAGCTAACCAATTACAATCTAAAAAAATTACATCACAAATTACCCTTAGCTAGCTAACATTACCATTAGCTTGGAATTTACCCACCTTCTATTGTTTTGTATTTCAACAGGGGTCGGACGAAGAATCAATATATTGTAATACTGACGGAAACTTCACAGACATGTTTTAGGGACCCCTGAGACTTATTGAAACTTGTTGAAAATTTGTATAATACGTGACCTTTAATGTTAATATAGGTAGTTTGTGGAGTATTATAGTTAACAAGCTGTTAAATGTATGCTGTTTTAACTTTATGGCCAGATGTCGCACCACAGTCTCTCTGCAACCCAGATGAATCTCGTTCCATTCCCTTTTGTTCAGTGAGTAAATATTGCAAAAGATTGTAACATTACTGATTGTAAGTCCACCTCAAAATTGGGATTTAAGTGTGGCTGTTCGGCACTGGTGGTGAGCAAAAAGATGTCAGGAGGCAGAAGTCAACGCAAAATGAAGTGATTGAGTTGTTAACCAAAAATAGCACCAAACAAAAGTTCCGGGTAACCTAATAAAACAAGATTACGTAAACCAAACGAAACCACAGCCTCACAGCAAGCTGCCACTAACCAAACAACCCCCCCAGACTCTGGCTTTATACAAGAAAACCCCAACTGGCCTCACTTTGTCTGATTAAGCTCAGGTGATTTCACTCAGCCTAATCACTCTGCAGGCCAGTGTAGGGAAGGTGGGGGCAGGTGAAAGGTATGGGACAACCTTTTCACAAAGATAAATAAATAAATATAATTTTGATAAAAAAAAGTCTTACAGTGGTCTTCTACAGAGACGGTCCGGTTGAACAGGCTGGTGTTGGTGTCACGCTCCACAACTTCAAGATGTGTCGCCACATAAACGAAAACATCCATTTCAGGAAATGAGCAGATGTGTAGGACAGTTTCTTCTTCGTCTGTTCTCTGGACAGACATTTCACATGTCCTCTGTCTGGGCAGGCTTGATTAGAACAAGTGACAAACACAATAGACATTGTTGGAAATAAATACAACATAATTTGTACGGCAGGAAAAAAAACAGGATGTTTATCATGTGATTGTGATGCAAGTTATTTGATACATGAAAATGAGAAAGAATAAATGAATAAAAAAGGTACAAGTCATTTGGTTTTATCTGGAGCTGCAGACTTGCAGTTTACAGTTTGAAGCGGTGACTGATGGATACCTCACACAAATACAAAAAAACAAGTATAACCTGTAAGAAATAATTGCTTAAATGCCAGATAACATGTCTCTCTGACATCCTTTAACATTAAAAACATGAAGAATTCACTGCAGTGTCCAACATACCCTTCAATCCTGTAGAGCAGATCATAAGTCATGTCATTGTCTGCAGTCTCAAAGAAGCAGGTGAAATCCTGCTCCGTCCGGGTGAAACATTTCGGATCCTGCTCATCTTTCAAGAGCAAAACATCTGCATGACAAAGAGCAGAACGCATAATCACCCCTGGATTCAAACGTGTTAAAACATAGAGTGAGGACTCAATGGTATTTTATTTTCCTGGTTTCTTTTTCCTTGAGAAATGTTACCTTGTCCAAACATGATTTAACAAAGACGACCCACTGATTGTCAAGAAAACAATATCAGATCTTTGTGGCACAACAAACTTCTACACCACTTGACCATTGGAGTATGTTGTTCTTGCAGCTTGTTTGCAATAAAGTTTTTTATAAAGAGTTTTATAAACTATGACCATCCAAAAATAAAACCCTCCTTTAGCCCTACCTGTCTTTGACAGATGGTTGAAAGTCCCATCCTGGCAGCAGCACACCTGTATCCACAAGCTTAGAAGTATCTCCCAGAAGCAAAGTAAATTCATTGTAGATCAAGATATTCTGATGCCTTACATGTCTTAAATCACCAGGTCACTTAAATGCCTGCGTATGTGCATTGTGAGTCGTCTTTGTTATGATTTTTCAGTTGGCATGGTAAGGTCGAGCAGTGCAGAAGGGGTTGGCACAATGGGATCAGTTTGTGCTGAGAGCAGGAAGCAAGTTTTTTGTAAAGTGGAAGTTATCACCAAAAATGGCTGTTTGGGAGGAGTGTGATAAAAAAAAAAATGTCATGGTGTATTGACATAGTTTCTTTTAGCATTAGACTCTGAAGTATATTAAAGATGGTAATGATTGACTTTCTGGATTTGCATTTTTTTCCTTTAATTTGTAAATAGACACCTCACCAACAAAAGCTATAAGAGGTCATCATGGACTTAAGTACAGGAGTGAAGAAGACGCAGCAGAAATGATCCAAAGTTCTTCAAAGGATTCAAGTCTGAGGACATCCACCCAAACACATCCGCCACTGAACCAACCTGTCAACCAATCAAATCACTGATCCATAACCCGCCTTTACAGAACTGCTTTTAATGGCGAATTATGCTGTTTTAATCATTGATTTCATTTTTTTTTCCTTTTCTATTGTGACTTTGTAAAGTTTCTTTATATTTAAAAGTGTTACACAAATAAAATATGTTATTATTATTATTATTATTATTATTATTATTATTATTAAGCTTTAAACTCGAGGATAAAAGATTAAGCCAATGCTGAATCGCCCAGGGCTGCAGTTTCTTGATTGGCTACTTGAGGCCTGCACCAAAGTGAGGCAATCGCCATCATGCCCATTAATATTGGGTAATCTAATGATTTGCAGTGTCGTTCATTGTAATGATGTTCTCAGAATCAGTGGATCATCCTCTAAAAAAAAAAAAACATCAACATTACACAATTAAAAGTTCAAGTCACCTCGGCAACTTCCTCTCCGCCTTGACACTTTCTACCTCCAAGACATATTTTTTACCTGTAAAAATAGAAATTTACTCCGAATCAGTCTTGAAGTTAAGTTTGTAATTAGATTTTCAACATTTATGCTGGCACTCAACCATCTGTGTCCAGATGCAATAGTTGATCAACTGGAAATTCGTCAGTACTTTTTAAAGGTCGAAAGACTAATGTAATTTTAAAAAACTACTTTATTTACATGTTTTACTGCCACTCCCAAGTTTGCAAGTTAGACAGTGTGCGGGAGTTTATCTTTAACGCAACATACAGCACAATATTTTGGCACCACAGACTGATACCATCTCTGCCAACACATTGATGTTACCAACAGGTGCTCAGTGGTTTTTGACTTTGAAAGTTCAGCAAATAATAAGCCGCCCTGACCAAACTGGAAACGATAGCACTGATGCAAAAACATGATACATTCAAACGTTGTCGTCTAAATATTTATTTTTGCAGGGAAAGTTGTCAGGTCCGACAGGAAGTAGTACACTGAGATTACAAATGTGTAAAAGCTTTCTTTCAAGTGAGTTCATTCGCCCTGACATCGCAGTGCATGCAACAAAATGTATGTTTTTACAAACTGATAAAATGTCTGCATGAGACAAAGCCAAAACTGAATTTAGGATTTTTACACCTTCACATCGCCGACCTAGCTTTTGTAATCGGCTGCTGGAGTCAGTGGATGATATAGAAAACCTCTTCTACATCTGTGTAGTGGAAAGATAGATAGTGTATCCCAGAAACAATAGCATTTCTTTTGTTCTAAACACATTAGTGTCTGTAGAGCAGGTAAAGTAAGTGACATAACCCCTGAAATGTAAACCTTCTCATGTGACCATATCAAGTCAAACAGATGAGGTCACACTGGGGCTTCCATGTTGAATGCTTCATACTTAAAATATAGATTTTCAGTCAGGGTATAAAAATACATTTTATGTGCATCCGGATCTCTTATACGTTTGCATGTGAAGCTGATGTGTTTGTGCGAGAGTCTTCAGGAAGCTGGCCCACTGAGACTGTGTTTGACAGACACTTGGGTGCTTGTGGTTGGTTTGTGGAGGAAACTCAGTGACAGATCAGCTCTGTGCAGCAGGGACACCACTGTTCCTGAACTTAGAGAGGACACTTTGGCTCTGACTATTGTTTTCTACCATGCATAGCATAAATAGGTCAGTGCGTCTACACAGCAAAAAAAAAAAAAAACAGCAAAAACAACAGAACACAAGTCAAGATAGACTACATTGTACAGTTTATTTTATCTCACTGAAATTCAAGATAATCTCTGTAAACTGGAGGTATGCTGTTAGTACGTATCTGCACTTTGTCAGCCATGTGTGTTGTGTTTCTGTGTTGCCTGACCATGGCTGAATAAATCTAAGATGATCCACAGTCTGTTTCACGATTTCATCATTGTCCATCTACTACAGAAATAACTCCCACCTAACATATGCACAATGTTGTTGTGCTCACTTCCCACACAAGGTCTTAAAAATGACCTGTGAAGCCGCCCTTTGCGATATGCCATTCAGAAACAATGCAATAAGTCTACAAGGAATGAAAGATTATTTTATTGTCAGAAACACCTTGAAAACGTGGAATCGTTTGCACTTAGGGATTGTGACTCAATACTCTATTTTGACTCCTATTTCATGTAATCCTGATTTTGTACAGTCTTGCTCAGATGGGGGTTTTAAAACATGGAAGAGTGCTGGTATTTCACAAATACGAGATCTCTTTTTAGATGGGACTCTAAAATCTTTCTAAAATCGTTATCTACAAATCTTTTATCGTTATCTTTAAACAAAAAAACTCTAAGTTTTTTTACATGATCAAATGTTTATCAACATCCCTACTATCAGTAGTTGGGTTGAAGATTTTGGGTACATCTCGATGATGAGATGTGGAGAGAGATTTTATTAAATGCAAAAAAGATTACATGTTCGAACAAATCCTATGAGACTCAATATAAGATCATCCACAGACTGCATGTGACCCCGGCTATCAGATGTAAATATGACCTACGTGCTCATCATTATGTCGGAAATGCAAAAGTAGTTGTGGCACTTATGGTCATCTTATGTGGTCATGTCCTAAAATCACAGAATTCTGGCTCTCGGTCCAAAATGAGATAAAGAAAATATTTGGGCGTTATATTCCTTTAAATCCTCATCATTTTGTTCTTGGACTGGACTTCTGTGACCGTAGGCACCAGTACATTCTTAGAGTTGCTTTGTATGCTGCACGCCTCACAGTGTTTCAGAAACGGTTAGATGAAGATCCTCCTGATATCTCAATGTGGTATGAAAAACTGCCTTTGGAGAGATTATCTCATGTACTCAGAGGTACTCTTGAGGTTTTTCTAAGGGAATGGTCCCATTGGCAATATTTCTAAAAGAGGAATGGTTCAGTGTAATGTGTATAGGAACATCAAATACAATTGAATGATTTTATTTAGCTCTACTGATTGTGAAAACTGCTGTTGTTAATCTTTAGTCTTAATCTTAATTTGTTGGTCCTTGCAATTAAAAAATAAATACATAAAAAAGGAAAATGATCTGTTAATTAAAATAAACTATTCACAACTTTAACTGCACTGGAGGAATTTGTTTCAGCACATTTTAATGATGTTTGGATGTGTTTAGGTCTAGAAAGCTGTCAGACCCCACTACAAGATGAAGCAAACTAACCTGACCTCACAACCACTCCACTCCTACCATCAACCTGAAGTTCAAGGGAAAAAGTAATCTACACTCAGGAGCAGAAGCCAGGCCCTCGAGTAGACGACGCTCCGCCAACCTTCAGTGACGTAATCCGGCACTACTACCACCCAACGTCCCTGTCGCCCAGCCAACACCATCGGACTGCGTCGTCCCCAATACCACCACCGTCCTCATTTATGCACAGCCTGCTCCGACCTCCACCTCAGCGACAAGGAAATGTAGACAATAGGAAACCGAGGAATACAAAGCAGAAATCCTTCCTGCAGCTTTATCCCACATTCTGTAAAGCGTCCCTAAATAATACTTCTTATGAATTACTGCTATACAAATAATGAATGAATGAATTTTCTTGTTACCTGTTCATTGACCTGACCCGACTGACTTTTTGTTTTTTTACTTTTAGTGTACATAGTCATAAAACTTCAATCTACGTATACGTAGTAGACTTCAGATGCCTTAAAGATTGATAATGAATTCAGACATCGGTTTTTCACCGGAAAACATGTGTATCAAATGATATTTAAAGGTTAACGATACAGGATCTGATATACAGTATAGATAATAATCTCTGTAAAGTCTGCACAATCTGTATCACTGAAAAGGAAGTTTTTTATCTTAACACAAAAGTACGCAAGTAGATCAACTAGTTGTGTTGATGATTCCAGTTAGTCCACAACATTTTTATTCAAGGCACTAGTTAATAAAAAGGCACACTTTACATTCTTATACAGTGGGTATATTACTATACATTGCATGGGGGGGGGGGTGTCCACTCATATGCACTTCTTGCAACTTTAAGGTATAAAAAGTCTTCAAAGCGACTAACCTTAAACTGGTCTTATTTGTTTCCAATAGAACTAATGACTGCACAGGCTCCTTGAGAAGTTGCTGCAAACTAACATTAAAAACTGTTAGAACCACCAACGTGCTCCAAAGCATTCCAACTTTGAACACATGTTTGGGGGAAAAATGATCTAAATTGACTGTAGATATCAAACTGTTATCTTTAGTCCATTCATCCATCCATCCATTATCTTTACCGCTTTTCCCGTTCACGGTCGCGGGGGGCGCTGGAGCCGATCCCAGCTGTCATTGAGCGATAAGCAGGGTACACCCTGGACTGTTCTCCAGTCAATGACAGGGCTGACATATAAACAACAATCCACACTAACATTCACACCTACAGGTCAATTAGAGTCACCAGTTAACCTAACAAGCATGTTTTTGGACTGTGGGAGGAAGCCGCTCAGAACCCACTCATGCACGGGGAGAACATGCAAACAAATGCAATTTCGAACCAGGAAACTCCTCACTGTGAGGCAACAGCGGTAACCACCATGCAGTCCTCATCTATAGTCTGTAAAGATAAACGGGGAATTTCATCAAGGGCTTGGCAAGGGCAGCTTATAATTCTCTGAACTTTCAAAGTCAGAAACCACTGAGCACTTGTTGGTAACATCAACGTGTTGGCAGAGATGATATCAGTCTGTGGTCAGAACACTTTTCAAGTGGTGCACTTTTCAAAATATCTTCAAAGTTTTGCTTTGAAAATAAAATCCTGCACACTGTCTAACTTGTAAACTTGGGGGGCAACAGTAGCTCACTTAGGTTGGTCCCGATGCGAACCACAATATGGAAATTGGTCTGGTAACTGGAGAGGTGTCAGGTCATTTTCCGAGTACTGCCGAGGTGCACTTGAGCAAGGCACCAAACCCCTAACCGCTCTGGTGCGCTCTCTGCGTAGCAGTGTGTAGCAGCATCACCCTGACACCTCTCCACTAATGCATGTCCGCAGAGCCTGTTTGTGCATATGTGTGAGAAGCATGTCTCTAAATAACGGCGTGTAAAACCAGAATTTCCCTCAGCGATTGATAAAGTACATAAAATAAAGAGAATAAAAATCATTGGTCGTGGTTGGGGAAATGTTTTTACAAACAGGAGACTAATACCTTTGTAAAGTGAACTTCATTCATGCCACTGAAAACGCAAATGGAACAGCTGCTTGTTGTGGTGACGAGTCTAGTCAGGGCATAAAACCTTCATTCAAGGAGCCAGCTAATACAAAACACATTCTCATATGTTGGATATTTTACCATACATTGCATTAGGCTGCATAGTGTTATATGTCAACTATAATGTTGATAACAAGTAGACTGGTTGTGCACCTGCCTCGTAATCATAGCACATTCAAAAAGCTACTCCAGTGATGGAGCTGTACAGGAAAGACATCGAGTATCTACAATGTTAGTTTCATATCAGTCTGCATTTACAATCAATTAGGAGGTTTTTATACATCTTTTTATAGAAACATACAGTAGTAGCTACATTTGCATGGCAGTGATAGGCTAACAGTCAAAGACACAGGTAGCATGAAAAACTTTGGTTGTAAGTGCTACATTGTTTCTGAGAACTTGTTTGTGATCCACGCCGTGTCCTTCATGAAAAGATTTATTTCTCCATTCAGAGCAATGGAGAGAAAATAAAGTCCAGCTTTGATACCCCACAGACCCTGTGGTGGTTCAGCAAGTCACGTAGCTCCTTATTTGCCGCTTACCCTCAACACTCGGACAAAAAGGGTTTGAGCGTTGTAACTTTTGCAACTGCAGAAGGTACAATGTCATGTCCTTTTTTTTTTTTTTTACTGCGACTGATTTGTACAGGATTTCCCAAAAGAGGGCCCAGCCGTACTCCTCGTCTCTAATCAAATCCACACAGTGTCCTTTCACAGTCCTCCATTTATAACTGGGTGACTCTGGTGGAACGTCGGGTCCTCCTGTCTTGACGCTGAGCGGCGGGGTGGTGGCAGTAACGTGGCGACCATCCTCTGGGCCTCCTCTTGGGGCTACGTGGCGTGCGAGGGTCTGGGGGGGCTGGTAGTCAGGCCTCCTCGGCTGTGGCGTCTATCCCGGCGTAGGTGAAGTTCTCAAAGAGAGCCATGTTCACATAAGCCTAGAAGACGGGTAGAAGCTTGTGATGAGAGCAACACTAATAGCTTTGCAATAGCATATCGTACACTTGATGAGAGAAAACTACAGAAGGGGGAAAAAACTGTCGCTAAATTGCAGCAAACCAACTATTTTCTAGTAGTTTAGTGTGAATTGAATTGAAAAGTAACTCATTAAGGATTAAAATAAAATAAAAAAGACAATTTCTTGGACATCTTGGAGTTATGATTAGTTAATAGGGCTTTATTTTGTTCTTCCCTTTCTGCTAAAACTGTGTAAAGGCAGCATTACCTTCCTGGCCTCCTGCATCCTGTTGAGCTGCACAGAGATTTGAGAGAACGGGGGTCTCTCGTAGGGCCGATCCCTCCAGCACTGCTTCATCAGCTCATAGCTGTAAAAGGAGAGAGAAGTATGAATGAATATGTCGACACAAGGACAGAAAAAGGCAAAAGAAGGCGGAATACTTACACCTCATCATCACAGTTTTTAGGTTTCTCCATCCTGAAGCCTTGTGGCAGTTTCTCATAAAGCTCAGCGCACGTCATCCCGCAGTATGGTGTGCCACCTGAGAAGAATGTGTTTATGATTAGTGTGGTGATTTAAGTCAAGAATTATAAATCATCAACATCATGACAAACACAACACAAAGTTAATACGACTGCAAAAACAAATTGTATTCCTGAGTTTCTAAGTGTCGTTCATTAGCACTTTGAATTAAGGATGTTGTTGATCTTCTGCAGGCCTGTCAGCTGGTGTTTAAGTCTTTACAATATCTCAGAGATTAAATCTGTACCTCGCCAATCATCAGACCAAATCCAAATGATGTATTAGTCCAGAACATGTCAGTTAAAAATGTATTTTCCGAGGGTATTCATCCACTGGTTTAGACCAAAATGTCTCAAGAAACATATTTGGCTAGTGTAGGCTCGCTAATTGGTTCCAACATCTGTTCACGTGAATTACCTCCCAGTTTCTTTAATACCGACGGGACAGCTGATTGGTAACCTTTCACATGAGAGGCAGCCATCTTGTTTGTTTACAAAAAGGCCATCATATGAAAGCTGCGTCCCACATCAGGGCTAGTATCCTTCAAAGGAACCAGCCTTCCTACTTTGTGTCGGCTGTTCAGGTTCAACTATGTCACCAGCTGTTCCCGCCCTTAACCTTACCAAGCAACCGTCCTGTCGCCTAGCAACAACCCGACAGCTGCACCAGAACTAGCAGATATAACTTTGTCTATTATTTTAAAGATTATTTGATATTTCAAGTCACATTAGAATGTCTACTTTGTGGATGGAGTTGACACCAGTAAGTTACATTTAAATGTGTTCATTTAATAGAAAGCCGCCTTTTTTTTTGAATTTGCGCACAATGAATCTTGGGATATGTCGGGCCACGAAGGATGCAACGTATACATCTTTGGTAGCCTAAGAAAAGTAAGATGCATTTATGGGACTCATTTGAAGGAGCCTTCAAATCAAACAGCCTTTAATGCGTCGCTGTGACGTAATCGGTCTTAAAAAGCACCCTTTGAAGGATGCAGCCCCTGAACTGGGAAACAGATTAAATCTGCTTCATTTTAAAGAAGCAGTTGTGATTGGCCCAACTGATTCGGCTCATCAGCCCTCAGTCTGAACATGCTTGCAGATTCACCTGGATCTCTAACAAGTACGACTGTTCTCAGTATTAAACATTTATGTAAACTGATGTAGATAGGAGTTGAAACTGTGAGAACAATTTGTTTAATGTCACACGTTGAGGTCACTTACCTAAGCTTACAATTTCCCAAAGCAGAACACCAAAAGACCAGCTGTGGGAGAAGATGCAAGACAACGAAAGTTAACAAAGTACAGAATGAATATAAGTGTTGTATTAAAAACATGACGTGATTACTGCCTAAAAGCCATTTTGATCATATGTAGGTTAAAACGTTGCAAAGACACGATCATCATTTATACCTGCTAACTATTTTGTTTTTCGTTTTTACTAATCATCAATTTCACTTGATGCTCCCACAAACGTTTCTCTCTTACATTCATGCAATTAAAGCACAATTGATAGAATTTAAGTTTTGAATCGAGCATTTAGTGAAATTACCCACAAATGAATGCATTTCATGTTAAGACTGTCGCTCTGTTGTGTGAAACACACACATTTTCTTGTTTTCATCACTGCTAAGAAAGAACAAAGTACTGAGTTCATTTGAAAAAATGCAGCTGATGAAATCAATGCAAAGTCTTTGCAGTGTTAAAGTCTCAACAACATGAAATGTGTCACAGGTCACAAAGCTGTGTGGTAGATCAAATGAGCAGACAAATGTTGTCTGTGCTGTCTGTCTGCTCTGGTGTTTATCTAATCTCTTCTGTGCACCATGTCTCACACTGTCTCAGTTCTTGTTCCAGTCGCTTTCGTACATTTTGTTTCTCGTACTATTGTTTACAACTCTCTCTGACCCAACATGTCTTCCGTTAGCTGTCCATCTTAACTTCTTCCAGCCTTTTGTATAAATAGGCTCCGTCTGACAGGCCGACCTCTGGGTCTGAGTGCGAAGTTGTACCCAGAGCTTCCTGGTTGTGCTTATCAGTTACACAGCACACTATTATCACTCCACCGGTGACAGGGGGATGATTTGTTGTTCTCTGTGGGAAGGCTTTATTTTGTGTACCTTTGCGAAACTTGGCTTGTGACTGAAACAACGTTAATACGGTTTTGTGATACTAAAAATCAATCATAGAAAGTTGTAGATGAGGGACTATTGATGAGCTGAATATCACAGGAAGTGTTTGTAAACCATTTAGCACATGGTCAGAAATGCTCAGAAGTCTGCCATGGTATCTTAAAGTACATTACATTTTCACGTTTCAAATTTCCCACGCTCTATATTGTCTCAATTTAAGACAATATAACTCACACATCACTCTTGGTCGTATACACGCTGTAGTTCAGAGACTCAATGGCCATCCAGCGTACAGGAAGTCTCCCCTGAAATCAAAGTAACAGACTCATTAAAGAGAATAAAATGAAGCTTGAATATATATAATTGTTACATTGGTTTAATGCTGTTTAAGAAAGTGACTAGTTGTTACTGGGATGCCACAAAATGACTGCTGTATGTAGTTCACTGCTGTACTGTCCTATGATATTTGACTATAACTGCCCCCTACAGGTCATCTCACTTATTATCCCCAAGTTGTGGACATGAAAACTGTATTTGAAAACATCCACTCTTCTCTTTGTGAAGTGAAAATACATGGGATGCAGACTAACTAAGTAGCACCATCTGCTGGCTTAAATTAAGACATATCATCTGTAAAATAAATAAAAATGGTTCTGTGTATGTTCTGAGCACTCACCATCGTCTTCTTGACGTAAACCTCCTCACCACGGGAGAGGCCGAAGTCTGCTATCTTTGCGACTAGGTTGTCCCCTACGAGCACATTCCTGGCTGCCAGATCCCTGTGGATGAACTGGTAACAAGACATAAAGGGTGTTATTACTGGAAAAATACTTTACACAGAAACATCAAAATTATGTGTTGCTTATAAATGTTTAATCAGATGTTTTATTTATCTCTGTGAAAATGTTTTATACTAGGGTAAGTCCATTGACAGTTGGTTGTAATGTTAAGTCAAAAAGTTGATTGATGATGTCACATCTTGACCCTGATGATAAAACAACTCAATCTAGCGTTTCAAAAGTCATCCAAAGTGTTCAAAATTATCCAGACTCTGAATATAAAAATGTGTAGGGTAATAAGACAAACTAACACTATTGCTCTTATAATAACTTGTGACTTTAAATCAAGCATAACGTCCTAATGATTGACAGCAATAGTGCACGAAAGAAAGTTTCTATGAAATTAGTTGGGCGTTTGAATACAGTCATCTGATCTCCATCTCCAAATTTCTGTGTTAAACACCCTATAAAGCACATCGCTTACACACAGGCTTTGCTGCTTGTCAACAGATTTTTAATTTTATTATTAATTTATTTTTGGGCATTTTGTGCCTCCATTGGAGAGATAGGACAGTGGACAGAGTCGGAAATCAGGGAGAGAAAGAGAGAGAGTGGGGAATGACATGCGGGAAAGGAGCCACAGGTTGGATTCGAGCCCGCTTGAAGGACTACAGCCTCCGTACAAAGGGCAGGTGCTCTAACCACTACGCCACCAGCGCCCCATGGATGATAAAATTTAAACAAAAGCAACGGCCCATAAAGTGCAAATTTTTCAATGACAGAATGAAACCCCCCTAAGGGTACCCCATCTGACAGCATTCACTCTCATTGTCCTGCTGAACCCTGGTTAGAGGCCCCCCCCAACTGAGTTTTGCCTTGGACCCCAGCAGACTCTAGAATCGCCCCTGCTTACACATTACTGGGTTAGGATTACGTAATAGTGTTATTATTCTGCAAGCACTTAGAAATGTACACATCAAGTTTTTATATTTAAGTGTTGGATTTAATTATAGTATGCATATGATGCAAATCCTGAGAGACTCCGCTTAACACAAAGTCACAAACAACCAGCCATCCACACACACACACACACACACGCACACACACACACACACACTCTCTGCTTCTTTCGTCGTTCACCTGTTTGTCACTCAGGTAGTGCATCCCTGTTGCTACGTCAACAGCGAACTGCAGGAGCTGCTGGGAGGTGAGCGTGGAGGCTGTGCCGTGCTCCTTTGCAAAGGCCGGATCGGTCTCCAACACTCGGCTCTTCCTCAGGAAGTCGAGCAGGTTACCGAAGGGAGCGTATTCGATGGCTATGTACAGGTAGCCTGGAGAAAAAGAGATAAACAGAATGTGCAGTTTCATCTGTTAATAAGTGTGTTATAGATAGATCCCAAAGAACTAGGTCACAGGTTTCCTGGCTCATCAGGAGCTATTGACTGCACCTGTGATGTTTTCCCTCAGCTGAGGGCTGATGACAGTCAGCTTGGGGCTGGGAGGCTATATAGAGAGGTTTTGGTTTCTCTGCTAAGTCTGTTGTCTGTCAGCTCCATTAGTTGGCTTTCTGTGTTTTCTTTTTGAATTAAACTCTCAGTTTTGAATGCGTGTGTGTGAAAACACATCTTCCTTTCAGCCATTTGTGACTCCTTCCATTACCGCTCTGTTCATTGACTCCCTCTTCTCTTTTGTTTTGGCTCCCATTTAGCTTTGTCTTTCATTTTGAGAGACTCAGTAGGTGGCAGTGGGCGGCTATGTTCCTTCTGCCAACTTTAAGAAACCCAAGGCCCACTTATGTGGTACCTTTTGTAACAAGTGCAGTGCTTTGTTAGATCCTCCACTCATAACTCCTGTCATTCAGATTTTGTTTTCTCGAGGGGAAGTAACAAATGTGTAGAAAGACCCGTACATATCCTTTACTTATGATGTTATAATCTCATATATATCTCATGGTGACGACGAGGGTTCAGGTCACTGTTATGAACTTTGTATGTACACCAGCAGTTAGCAGCTCAGCCAGACTCTTCACTATGTCTTCCTCTTCTCCCAAAGAAAGTTTGATCATGGGTCAGTTGGACATCAGGAGTGAGAGGTTTCGCCCCTGACATTTAAAATATCTGATATATTTACTTCTTCCTCCTGTTCTGCAGTTCAACAGTTTAAAGCTGAACTCCTCCTGAACACGCCTTAATCCTTCACAGTGTTGATTTCAGGAGCTTGAATTTGTTCCCGATTTCTGTACGAGAGTAAAAAGCTGAAAAACATCGGTGTGTATGCTGCCCTATTTCTGGACAGATGCAGAATAGATCCAAATAATAAAACTGTGCAAAAAGCAAAAATAAAACGAAAACTCCCTAAATTCCAAAAACACAAGTTGAGTAACACTTGTGAAAGCTAGCGTCCTGCGCTCTGAAGCAATAAACATTTGAAAAGCTTTTCCCTCTCGCAGCACGGGGACAACACACACAGGTTGTGCTGTGTGCTAAACCAATACTACTCTCTCTATAGAAGCCTTTCTTCTTTTTCTCTTTCCCTCTGTTGGTATCCATCTTTACCTTCAGTCTGATCTTATATACCTCCACTTTTACCCACAGACATCATTAATTCCTCCCTCCTTCCTTCCTTCATTTCTTTCTTTCTTTCTTTTTTCTTTCTTCCCTCCTTGCATCCTTCATTGCTTCCTTCCTACTTTCCTTCCTTCCTTCCTTCCTTCCTTCATTCATTTCTTTCTTTATTCCTTCCTTCATTTCTATATTTCTTTCTTCCCTCCTTGCGTCCTTCCTTCCTTCCTTCCCTGTTGTCTTATTCAACAGTTTTACATATCAGTTTGACTTCTTCCACTAAAGTTGAGACACATTTGTTTGAGTGAGAGTCAGGTTACAGTATACATATATTATAACATGTTTTAGTAGATTAGAGAAGTGACCCTGAGTGAAACAACAGATGTAAACACAAAGAGTGAATAATTTCATGCTATCTGAAAGGGAAACCGCTGCAGAGACACGTAACTACTCCGAGGATTTTATTTCAAGGCAGATTTGCTTTTGTAATGTCCTCACTGTGTACTTTCCATAGTAGACTTCCCCCTTGTATATGCTATCAATCTTTGATCAAACAAAAGTCATTCAGTTGTTTAATGTAGAGGCAGTCGGATAAAGCTGCAGGAAACTGATACTCTGTGTTCAGAACCGGTGCCAAGGAAACCTTACACAAACACATAAAGACACGTGCATGTGAGCCACTTGGACTAATCAAACAAATGTGCAAATGTGTCTGGCAGGCCAAGATTGTTTAGATTGGACAGACTCTCGTGCTTTGCAGGTGCAAAGGACAGAAGATCAGATGGGAGCGTCTGTTTGGATGTCTCTTTTTCTGTCAGAGCCCCCAGACTTTGGAAACGCCTGTCAGAGGAGATCAGACTTGTAGAATCAGTCCCTATATTTGTTTCTCTACTTAAGACACTCTTTCACAAAAAAAAAGCCTTACTTTGTGATTTTATTTTATTTTATTGTACTTGCATTTCTAATCTTTAATTCTGTCCGTCTGTTTGCTTTTATTACTGAGTCACTTTTATCACCTGTATTGAAAAGTGTTAAGACAGGACTTTATTCAAAGGCCACCAATTACTAGATTCTGCTGTACACACGTCAGTATTTTCTGCATTTGTATACAGTGCATTACTCCAGATATATTTTTTGCACGTTCTGTAAATTTTGTCCAGCAGAATCTAAAATTGCACTTGTGTCCACCAAACCTAATATCTGAATATATGACACAGAACATATAACGTATAAGGCCTTGATAAAAAAAAGGTCAATAAGTTAAGATACACACAGCCTTCTTAGTTTTGAAGTCCATAGATTATATATTTGTATGACTTGTGTGCGCCTTTCCTTCCAAAAACACAATTATACATAATAGACATCAGTGTTTCTTTAAAAGGCCAGAACTCAAAGGCACAGCAGTATCCACAGAAGGCCACTAGGTGTCGCTCACTCACCTCTGTTCTCACAGGCTCCGATCAGGTTGATGATATTGGGATGCTGGCCTAGTTTACACAGCACCTCCAGCTCCCCTGCAAAGTCTCTGTGGTCATTCTCTGAGGCGAACTCTGCAGGAAGATCAACACGCACAGCAGCGTTACGCAAAATGCAAGCTAAGCAGTTTCCCACTTTGAAATGAGATCTTCTGATACAAGCACAGTCTCTCTCTCTCTGTGTGTGTGTGTGTGTGTGTGTGTGTGTGCTCACATGACTGTGTTACCTTTCAGCATCTTGATTGCTGCGCTCATTTTACTGCCGTCCTTCTTGATCATGGCTTTGATTACCTGGTGTAGAAACAGCTGTGAGCTTAACCCGGTGAATAAAAGGAATGAAGATAATATACAAAGAGAGAGAGAGAGTAAAAACCTGGCCAAAGTTGCCCTCTCCAATGACATCTTCAAACTTGATGTCTTCCCACTCCAGGATGGGATAGGTGAGGGGCTCTGGTGTTGGTTTGGGCCTCCGTGTCAGGGTCAGAGTTCCCGAGTTAAACTGCAGAATAGTCTCTTCACCCTGAGGGGAAAAAACCGGCTCTTAGGATAGACTCAACAAACACAGATTTATTCAAGTTCAATACAGGAGCATTTCCTCAAAACTGTGACTGAATAAGAGAATTAGAAATAGCAACTGAGATGTCAACCAGTTGAGTTCAGCAATCCCCCCCATTTTTTTACCAATAGATTTGAAAAACTAATATTGATATTCTTTGTAACATCTCTATCCTGGTTGACAGAACGGCCATGGTAGCAGCTTGCCCCACCCTTTCAGTAGATTTATGTCTAAATGAGACCATCATGCTTTATTGACGAGCACTTCAATCTAATGATGGGTTTGGTAATTGTTGGATGAGTCTGACATCAAGTGTTATTTTCACATTTTATTTCATACATTGGACTTCTTTTTGGAACCAGAGGAGTCTCCCCCTGCTGGCTGTAAGACAGAAAGCCAGTTTAAGGCAGTTTGGATTTAGCTTCATCAACGGCTCAAATAAAGTCTTTGGACTGAAGTCAGGACTAAAAAATATTCTTAAGAAAGTTTTAAAGGTGTCTTTGATGCACGTCTGCCTCGCTATCTTCCCCCCACATTTCCTGTTTCTCTTCAGCTGTCCTACCAGTACAGGTAAAAAAAAAAAAAGATCTTAATAAAACAATTTCTTAGTGTTGTCCTTACTGATCCAGACTGGTAGGTAAACGTGCGTCGACGGTTCAGCAGCGTCTTGCGGATGAAGAAAAGAGCCAACAGAGCGAGCAGGATGGTCACACAGGTGACTGTTACCGAGCCGACCACAGCCACCAACAGCTGGTAGCTGTCCCCATGAGGCTTCCCGGCCACACCCTGGGTGGTCGGGATTAGACTCCGAAAGCCTTTTTTTTTTTTTTTTTTTTTAAGGCAGAGAAGAAGAGATGGAAAGGGAGGACAGAGGGGGGGGAGGGGGGATGAAAGATGGAGAGAAGAAACAAGTATGGAGATGACGCTGATTTTCAGACACTGGACATAAATAAATATGCTGTCTATGAATGATGACTCTGAGTGAATCCCTGCCTCTGCGTGGGTGGTCCTGTGTTTAAACCCACCTTGGAAAAAGCCAAGTATTGGCCAAGAGTACAGCAATGAAGACATTTTCCAAAGGGAGTAACTTTTAGCTTGAAGGGAAAACAAATGAGTGTGCAAGAAACGATTCAACTTTGGAAATAGTTTTATATCAGTACTGAACATTTTTCATCAGCCACTATGAACAAACCCCTTACTCCAGTAATCTGGAAATTCTGAACATTTTTGTCTGTTCTGTTGTTACCACGATGTACCAACTCACAGAGGAGGGTTTCTAAATGTTATCCAGTGAGGGCCTAAATCTATTACAACTAAACATGTGGTGAATTTCAGCAAACAAACTCAACCTCATACATTCACACTTTCTGCTTTTGGATTGGTTGTTATTGTTACTATATGTATTCTTCATTGTTAGTTAAACCTATTGATGTGTTCATATTATTCACTGGATGTTAGCAGATTATTTGACAATGTTTAGGTGAAGGCTTTCTAAAAGCTCTCAGAGTTTCCTGCTTCTTCACATTATCCATCCATCCATTAGCTATACTGCTTTTTTCCGTTTGGGGTCGCGATGGGCTGGAGCTGATCGCAGCTGTCATTGGGCGAGAGGCGGGGTTACACCCTGGACTGGTCACCTGTCAATCACAGGGCTGAGTACCCGGAGAGAACCCACTGGGAGAACATGCTTGCCTGGGTTCCTGTCTCACGGGAATTCATACCAGGAACCTTCTCTCAGTGAGGCGACGATGCTAACCTGCACCGTGCAGCCCCTTCTTCACATCATTCTTCCTATATTCAAACTTTGTTATTTGTGTATTTGTGCATAAATAGCTTTGAAGAGGTCAGATTATGCCTTTTTGTACCTACTAAAGTATGTTCACAATAGCTAAAGTAAAAAAAAAGTGTCTGTTTTCATGAACTGCCGCTCCATGCACCGGCTCGCTTCTGACTCTCTCTCTAAGGCTCTGAAGTGCCCACGTTCAGAGTCCCCACGTGTGCCAAGTCTGATCTGATTGGTTGGACTCTGCTGTAATTGGTCAGTCGCTCAGCCACTTTGGCTCCGAGGGGAGCAAAAACATTAGCACTGTAGCACTACTGTGCTACCGCAGGCTACGGCATATCGTGGGCGTGCTACAGAAGTTAACGGGCATACGACATGAGCTGCTGGACTTGCCACAACGAGCCAATGGGCTTAGATCAGTGATCTCACACTGACAAGACATCACACTGACAAGACGTTACACTGACGAGGGGGGCTAGAACCGAGCGTTACATGCAGCTAATGCTACAGCTAACAGGAGGACGTAGGAGAAGCTGCGTTTCCGCTGACTTTGAATTTTTGCACTTAGATGTGCCTAAACATGCACAGGACACTTGGAAAACACACTAAAGAATCAGAAATAGCATAATATGACCCCTTTAAAACTTAACGAAAAGCTAAAAGATGTCAGTCTTAGAAGTTTCTTGTGATCAACATTTAGACCTTCCTGAAACAAACGTTGATTAAGGGCAGAGCTGGGAAGAAACAGAGAACACTTACTGGTAATCCTTTACTGTACTTACTGTAAGACTATTTCCATTTTTATATTAATTTTCTTACAACTTCAACATATGTTTCTTTTTCATTTTCATAGTTTGTTTATTCCAAAATAACTGCACTTTCTACTGTGATTGCATCGACAAGATGACAAAAGACAACTTTGCTGATTAATCTGGAGCGTATTAAAAACAACAAGACACTCAAAAACCAACTTATTTGCATATTCGAGAAAGAATAATGTTCATTATGTCCAGATATTTACATATTTGTTGTCAGACAGTCACCTCTGGATAAAGTTGAGCACATAACGACTTCCCACTTACCGTCTTCGTGTGTCATGGCCCGCACCGCCTTGCTCCACTCTCCGGGCACTTTGGAGGACGCTCTCACTCTGAACTGGTAGAGCGTGCTGCCATTGAGCGCCGTCACATCTTTAGACGTCTTGTTTCCGTCGTCCGTGTCCACCCAAGGGTGAGGGCTCCCCTGGCCCACCGGCTGGTACTCTATGGTGTACTTAATGATGCCTCCGTTGGGGTCTTCAGGGGCCTGCCACCTCACCTGGATGGCTGAGATGGACAGAGGCAGGGCCTGCACGTTGCGTGGAGACGATGGACCTGAGACACAGAGGGATTTATTAAAGTTAGGGTCTTTCTTTATTCTTAAAGAAAATCACTGCACCAGTCACACATTTATATAACTGTTGGTTCTCTAGTCATTTGTAGGCTGGATTTTGTTTCTGACTTTTGTATCTCCATCGTTTGCAAACTAATCTGCATTACTTCTTAACAGCGAACCATCAGATGCTAAACAGACACGTCTGCTTTTAAGTTTGTGGGCAGGGAGAGAGAGGCAAGACACAACGAGCAAAAACCAATCCTTCACTTTTCCTGACGTTTTAAATCTTATCTCAAAAAGGTCTTGTCATTAAATGTTTTTATCTTGTTTTTAAAACCACTGGAATTAAATACATGTCAGTCTTTCACCAGACTGTATCCTTTAAGAGTCTGCAGGGTGGATAATCTACTTATCCAAAGAAGTGGACATCAGGATTAGGAACTCAAAACATTTTTTAAAGGCCGTCTTTGGTGAGTATTACTTCTGCCCCATGGCTAGTGGGGGATTGTGCTAGATTTGTTTCACAGGAGTTGTTAGCTTCTGTATTTATATTTTGCACGAGGTGGCTGTCAATGTTTCATAATCTGCTGTCAATGAATGCAGATAAATGAGCGATGTTGAACCACAGCTAGTAATGCAACATCTTGATTTTTGAGTGTTTTTGTGTTTGAACTATTTTCGCTCACTTTCTGTCAAGAATGGTGAAAATTGATGGATACAACTTTAAATTCTATTTTGTTTGCAGAGGGGTTTGCTATTTCATATCTCTGGGCATCAAATAGTGTCTGCACAGACTGACATCATTTGACTTCATGTGATTAAAAGTACTTCAGATTTAAGATCCTTACATGAACTCATTTTGAGTCTGAGTGTTCTGAAAACACGTCGACATCTGGTGTATTATAATTTTAGGTTAAAAGTTGCACATTTTATTAAGTGAAGAAGGCACTGATGCCTCAAATAAGAGATTTAAAAATGTGCATGTTGCTGCTTTTTTACTTAGTCCATTCATGACAAATGGAACAACAAATCAAACTAAGCTTTTCAGGCTTTTCAAAGAAAAGGGGGAAAGGAGAAGCTGTTTGGTGTTGAGTGTAATCCAGTTAAAATCCTTCAGGTGGATGTTTCAGTCTCTTTGAAGTGGAGAAGCTGCTCACTCATAAATAAAACTTGACATTATATGTTGCGGCATTTAGAAGGAGCCTTCCTTCTGGCATATAAACAGCAGTTTCTAGTTACCCTGGCTGCTGAGACGGAAGGTGTATGGTTTGGAGGGCGGCCCCAGGCTGCCACAGTTGATGAGGCGCACCACCACGGTGTAGTCTTTCTGGTACTCCAGGTTGTGGAACTTTGTGGAGAGCACAGTGAGCAGGGTGGTCTCCTGCAGGAGTTTCTCTCTGTAGGGGGGCGGCCCGATGAGCTGCACTAAAAAGCCGCTGGCTGTGGCGGCGTTAACGCCGTTGTTGGGGGGCAGGCGCCAACGTACGGTGGCGTTTCGGCCTTCCACAGAGCTGACGTCAATCTCAGGCTGAGCTGTGGGCTCTGCAGCGACAGAGAACACAGGATGAGCTGAGGGGACGGACGGCTCCTTGTGATTTTCTCTTCTTAGCTAAACTGCTAAAACTTCTTCCAGTGACAGATAAAAGGTTTTCAAAGTGAATTTGATGTTTTTTTGTTAATTTTTTTTCAAATGTGTTTCAATTGGCTCTAGTTCAGATAATAAGACTGTTTGCTGACACCATGAATGAGCTACCTAAAAGTCCTCCCCCTTGTCCTGTTCTGAATACAACCATCCAGATGCTTTTGTTCCCTTCACAGTCCAGAAAAATGTAGTTCAAACAGGGCTCTGAATAAGTGTGCTCGTCTGTTCCCAAAGCACTTACTACACGACAAATCTTAACATGCTTCAGGTATATAGTCTACTTAAATAGGGGATAGACACGAAGTTGAGTACACACAAAAAAACAGTTTGCACACCCCGCTCAAAGCTGGACAAACTAAAAAAGGATTCTAATAATTGCAGAGAAAGAGCTTTTGGATAACCTTTGAAAACTAAAAGAAAATGTGAAGGGTTTGAGTGTAAGTAAGAGGCCTGAGAAAATGTATGAATGGCCCGATTGTTGTAGTCTACTTTCAGCAGGAGAGAGTTAATTGCATCGTTTTCCATTCTGAATAAAACTTTACACTCCATCCGTGGTCAGGAAATACTCGTTTACTACCCTCCTCAAGAAAGGTTTCTGCTAGTTCAGGAGACAAACCATCCCTTGTTACAAATAAAATCAGTTCCACTGTACAACATGGACCTCACCACACATTGCCAAAGAGTCACATTTAATAAACCTCTGTGCTATAATGCTCCAATTTCCATCATTTTTCTGGACTCACACTTGATATGCTCTCTCCCTCTGCACCACAATCGATGGGAAATAAAAAGACCAGATTCCTTCGATTCAATGCAGGTCCTTGCAAAAGTTAATGAATTCTCTGATTTCTCGATGACTGATGACAAATGTTTATTTTCATTTGATCCCCTCGTGGTCTTCATTTAATCTAAGAGAAGTCTTCAGAGATAATTAATCTTTCTATATTTGCCTCAGACGTGAGCCGGCAGGACAGATATGCTCACTGGGGAGAAGATAACTGGCTCCTTTCAGCCTGGGAAAAACACAGCTCAGCAAAAATAAGGACAATTTTCTTTTATTTTCAACCAGCCAGTAGATAATTATTCTCTCTTAAGTTCAGTAGACCTGACTGCGGACACTTTTTCCCAGGCTAAGTTTACAGATAGATGTTCTTGTATAGTTTGTTATGGGATCATTCTGACTGAGCAGTTATTTCAGGGTTTTACCAGGACAGTCAGTCTCCATGATGGCCTCTGGCCCCGGGGCCCCCTCCCCTCCTATCCCAGGGCGACTCAGCTGCACACGGACATGGTAACGGGTTGAAGGCTCCAGGTTCATGAGCGTGATGGGCTCTTTGTCACTGTAAACTGAAAAAAAGTAGACATATAAAATACGGATAAATCACAGACTTTAAAATGGTTTTAGAGCAGTGATACGACTGAGCTTAAAAACTGAAGTCGAGAGAAAACTTAGAAATTCAAAGATGAAAAACCATTACGAGAATATGTAGGTGAGACATTTGTTTGTTTGTTTGTTGTTAAATTATGAGTAACTTGTGGAGAAAATGCCAAGCAATGAATATAAGACGGATATGATGACGCTCCAGATCTTTTTTCTTTACCAACCTAAATGAAACACTTTTCTTTTTACTTATAGATAAAGTGCATATAAATTAAATAGAAAAAACTGTATCCACCATATGAATTTAACTTCTAGATTCAAAACTCAGGCTAATGTTGGATTGCCTTAAACTTGCATTTTTTGTAATGGCCAGCAGGGGGGGACTCGACTTGCTGCATGAAAAAGACTGTTTTTATAGAAGTCAGAACCATACTTTTTACTTGATTTTATTGCTAATAGCCCTGGCTACCTTTAGATTGACAAGTCGCTGTCATGATCTCATAATAATAGAGGTGTGGGGTTGTGTATGTGCCATTGAAATCTACTAAAAAAGTCAAACTTCAAGTATAAATAGTAGACCAGAAATTCAAAAATAAAATCCTAGAGACTTTGACTTTCATTTAGTCAAAGTTTGATTTGATTTCAATAGATTTGTTTCACTTTATTAATGTAGTTAAAACATTATAATCTAGTGAGAAACAATCTGCTTTTAATTTTTGTTTCCATTATAGATTTCTGAATAAATGTTACCTATGATGGAGGACCAGGAGTCTCCGTTCCCCACGGGTTTGTAGAGGAGCCGGGTGGAGACGATGGGGCCGTCTCCTCTGTGGGAGTCCACCGGCATCACCAGCAGCTGTTTACTCCTTCTTTCCAGCAGTTTGGGAGCCGTGGTGGGCACAGGAGGCTCTGAAGAGAGACACAGCAACAGAGTCTCCAATTTAGATTTTTGCAAAAGTAACATCTCTTCCTCTGTTTATTATTCAAAAAATGTTACTCAGATTGAAACTCGAAAACGAGATGGTTCATCTCAAGGGGGCTATCCATCAAGAGACAGAAACACAGACCTTTGATGGTGAGGTTGAACTTGCGGGAGTCGTGGCCTCCATTGGTGGACACCCTGCACTCCCACAATCCTCCTTGTTGAGCAGTCAGAGGGGGGATGTCAAACAGGGCTGTGCTCTTATTTGAGTCCATGACCGTGCGAGAAGCCTGGGAGTAAAATATAAAACACACAAAAACAATAATGCCTCACAATAACCACATCTTTATTTGTTGTACTTGTTTTTGCTGCTGCTTGGCGTTGTGATAAGAATGTCCACACTATGAGAAATATCTTTGTTCCCCCAAAGGAAATGATGCTATAGTTCTTTATCGGATTATTTGTATGATCAGGGAAACAGCACAGACGGAATAACACATAAATATGAGCATGTCGCTGTAAGGCAACATGTGCTAACAGCTGCAGTGTAGAGTGATACAGCCTTATCTGGTCAGGCCATTGTGTTGTCGACTTCCTCAGAGATTGGCTCAACCTTGTTATCATCAGATCGATCTTAAAGGCACAGTACAAGAAGACTTCTTGATTCTATAGCTGATGCTGAACCACACTGCAATATTCATGAAGATCCACAAAATAGTCTATAGATAATCAGTTATTAGGTTGATTTGCAATGTTTAACACACTGTGTTGTGTTTTTGGACCTGATCCCAGCCGTCACTGGACGAGCGGTGGGGCACCCCCTGAACTGGTCACAAGTCAATGACAGGGCTGACATATAGAGACTAACACCCATTCATACTCATACCTACAGACAATTTAGAGTCACAAAACAAGCTTATCTTTGGACGGTGGGAGGAAGCCGGAGTACCCAGAGGGAGTCAATGCATGCACGGGGAGAACATGCAAACTCCACATAGAAAGGCCCCTGTCCGACCAGGGATTCAAACCAGGAACCTGGTTGCTGTGAGGCTACAACACTTAACACTGCACCACTGTGCAGCCCTTGCAACTCAATATGCTTGCATTTAAACTTTGATAATTTAATGCACAGCATAAAAAGAAAGATTAGGAAGGAATGATGTGCATTGGTGCATTGCAGGAGTTGTGTTTTATTGTACCACCATATATTTAGTGTGTATGATTTATTCTACAAAAGGCTGTGCATTTACACCCCACGGTGTGAGTGCAGCACATTGGTTTCATGTTTTGCAGTAAAACTAAGTTTCAACTTTCAACTTTTTTGTCCAGAAGGGGAAGTTTGCTCTGCAGCCAGTAAAGCCATAAAACATAGAAAATACAGGCACATAAACTTGGTTACAAGAAACTTAAAAAAAAAAAAATGAAGAGTACATAAAGGGACAAGTGAAAGTAAAACTGTCCTAAAAAAAACATCATCAGACATCAGCCGTGAAGAATAAAATGTTTGGGTCACTTTTTAGTCGTTTGATGGCTTGCGTGATAAAAGAAATGTTCAGCCTGTTGGTTTTGGCTTCAGGTAACCTGAATTAGGGTCACAGGAAATCTATTGGAAAAGTTGAGCATGAAGGGAACCAAACTAGATATGCATCAGCTCAGCAGTATTCAGTCTGATGTTATTCATGTTGGTACCCTCAGATTCGGTTGTCTCTGTTGTTGTTCAAATGCATTTAAGTCCTCCTGAGTGTCACTTAAAATACATTTAATGTCAGTGTGCCAAACATTTTCTTATTGGTGACACATCATTAATAATGCGAAACGATTAACTAACCGTTTGATGCACGTTAAGGCTACCAACCTTGAAGACCTCTGTGCTCTAACCCGTGTTTTCTGTTTCTTTCATACTAAGGCTGACTGTAAGTTGTCTTGGCAGGAGTGCTGTAAGCAAATACTGTAATTTTTTTTACCTTGAGCACTGTACTGTCCAGCTTTCTCAGCTCGATGCTGGTGTGGCTGGGCAGGGGGTTGCCTGTGGCGGAGCAGGAGATCTTGGGGCTGGAGTTCAGATTCCACTCCAAATTACTATCCAAATCCAGGATCTGTGGAGCCCGGTCTGAGGAATAAGAAATGAACAGAGCACAGAGAACAAATAACATGGATATTTACACAGGAAATTAATGTGGCAGCAGAAAACCAATGATGGAGAAATACCATTGGATTAAATAAATTCATTTTTTTTTGTGCACAAGTGACTTTCAAAACTTGTTCATGGCTACTTGATACCTCATTTCACCAAATCCCAACCTGATTAACTTGTCCACATTTCTGAAGATGAAGGTTTTTAACTCAAACCATTAGTCAGATTAGGAATCAAATCCCCTTCTAATTATGTCTGATGTTTAATTTGCATGAAGAATCCTGCAAACTGTTAAGAGTCTCAAGGATTATGAGCAACTTAATTGCCTAACAACTTACCAAACAAGCTCACCTCATCAGGGTTTGAAAGGGGTTTAACCAAAAACTAATGAGGCCATCTTATCTGGTAAAACAGATGAATTAAACTGGATATGATCTACCTTCATTTTTTAAAGGATTTTTTAAAAACTATTTTATGCTAGTATGCGCCTAATATTTGCTGCTGTGATGAGAAAGATTGAGCAGATGAGTTTGGTAATGATGATATTGATGGAAAGGGACTTTTATGAGTATACAGTTTTGTTGGGTACCAATTAATTCAATTACACAGAGTTAAGATGTGAAGATACCTACCGGACTTCTCACAGTTCTGTCCTCTCCACCCTGTGGGACACTGACATCCACTGAAACGGTTGCAGACTCCTCCATTCTGGCATTTACAGGTCAGAGTGCAGTCTGGTCCATACATGTCACCATGGCAGGCTGTCAAAAGATTACAGACAACAGGACATTTTGCTAAACAGTACGACACACATAAGAGTAAAACCATTTGACTGTATTTTACTGAATATAGCAGAAACTACAGGGACTAATTTAAGGTGATGTGGAGCTCACCTTTCTCACAGCGGTTCCCAAACCAGCCGCTGGCGCAGGAGCAGCCATAAGGGTCTGGTAAACAGAAGCGAAGCCCCTTACAATTCATCTCAGAGCCACATGACTCCTGGCAGTTTCGGCCAAACATTCCTTCCCTGCAGGCTGCACGAAAGAAAGAGAAAGACAAATTCACAAATGTGTTTATTTAAATTCCTTGGGTTTTGGTGTATCATTCTTCAACCTTCATTGCAAAACAACATGAAAGACAGAAACTGGTTTGCCCGTGGACTCATGAGTAACCAGTCTTTTTTTTAAATTGAAAGCAAAACAAGCTTGCATTTTCTAAACCAAATAAGTAAAACCTTCCCTACTGACAATATATCAAACAAAGGTGTTGCTACATATCGTCCTCAAATACTGTGAAGATGAGAAATCACAATATGGTGGCCGTAAACCCTTGATGTCACTTTCAGGTTTGTAGGTCAAAATGTCATAATAATTTGGTAGGCTATTGCTGTGTTTCTGTTTTACAAATTGTTTCAATGAAGAAAAAAGACAAATAGTTGTCATTTCATTGCTTCCAGTTTGATAAGCAGTTGAAAACACTGAATAGTGAATATCCTAGGTCATATTGGGACTTACACAACAGCTTATTTTAGCAAACATTTCCTAGCTAACATGGACGTTTAGTAGTATTACATATACCCATAGGCGATACATACATTCCAAGCTAATGGATATGTTAGCTAGCACATGGTAAGTTTAGCTAGCACAAAGCACAACTGAAGTTGAGTGTGTTGAGTAACTCAAGCTACAGGGATGTAAACTTGCTAACAATAATGTTGACATTAATGCTAGCAAGGAACTATGTTAGCTGTTGTGACTTAGCGCCTGGTACCTGATGAGTTATCTTATATAATAATTCAACTAGATGTATAGCCTGATGTCCCTAAATTGTATTTGAATTGTATTGCTGATGAGTCATTGCGACCAGTCAGATTGTCAGTTATATAATCTGAGTAACCCAAAGTACAGCCGTGAAAACACAACGATAGCATTTGAAATTCAGAGAAAGAAAAAAATGTCTGATGTGTGGATACAGTGGCAGTATTAGTAATGTAAAGTCTACCTTACACAACATGCAGTCTTATCCCCTTACAGTCAGTACTGACAGCTCTACACACGTATTCTCCCAATGCCGGAGTCAAAAAATGTCCCCAAAGTCAATTAAACCCATGACCAAGGCTTGTTTTGACCCAATGATAAAGTTATAGCTTATATAATTAATGTGAGATGACATATGATACATAACCTTCATCTGCAAAACCAATGACAACTATTCCAATAAGCACCAAATGTGCTTTGTGTTTAGTCCTCACAAGACAGTGTTGGAATGCATATAACTAAAACTCATATTGTGCGCATGGGTAACATCACACCTGAAAATCACCAACATGCTGTCAGGATTATTTTGGTCAAGTTAGAGTAGTGACTGTGGCACTGCCGCTCCAAAGTACAGCCTCAGAGTGTTGTTAGCGTTGCTGTTTATGTTCAGGACTGATGTATTTCCAATCTCGTTGGACTGTTGTGTGACTTTAATACAGCTCGTAAATGAATGTGGTCAGGTAACCTGTACCAACCTGTCTCACAGCGTGTTCCCATGAACCCTGGAGGGCAGATACAGTCTCCATCAGCGTCATGACACATTCCGCCATTCAGACACTCTGGACAGTCTCTGTCACAGGCAGGACCCCACCTCTTATTAGGACAGTCTGCAGGAAATACAAGTTTACATCCTTAGATCACAAGTTCATAGGTACAAAATTCACAACATGTTACGTCCTCCTTGAACAGTTTGGTGAACTTTCCAATAAAAAACCCTTCAGTCAATTGATCCCCATACACAAAATATCATATAGTAAGTTTTATTTATGACAGTGTTTTAAGCACAGACTGCCCTATTACCTTAAAATGCATGAGTCATGTTTTTATAAAATAAGCTCTGAATAGATGTTTTATTGTTTTTTGTTGTTGTTTGTTTTGCTGTTATAAGAAAAAGCTACCAGTTAGAGGTATATAAAGGCAAGCCTGCATCCAATTCGCTAATGTAGCGTAAAGATTGGTAACAGCTGCACTGGCCACAGCTCCGTCCAAATAAAAAGAATCAATCAAAATGCTCAGTTAAACAACAGTTTGGACTTGTGTAATCCAAACCATCCCAAAAAGGGATGGTATTGATTTTATTGACTTTTTTTGTATTGACTTTTTTTGCTTTTAATTGCTACTCTCTACCTTCTTTGACAAATGTATCCATAGCTTCTCTATTGGTGTCTGTATCTTGGCACCACTGTCAATGAAGGTTTTTTTCCTCAGTGCGTCAGGGTCCAACAAACCTCTTACTATGAGCCTCATCCAGGCGCCATGAAGAGGACTGTCCCCCACATAGCTGGCGCTGTAGATGCCCTGATTGGCAAAAACTGCGTTCTCCACCGTCAGTACAGCTGTGCGGTTTATCATATCGTTCCAGTGAGTCATGTAATAGTAGTTTCCTAGGCAAAAGACCAAAAAAAAAAAGAGTGATGACTATGGCGTTGTTTCAAATGTGTCAAAAAGTATTCTGAATGGTTATCACTAATGGGTGCTGGTTTCTTAAATGTGAGTTAAAGTTGTGTTTGCTGTCTCACCGTTGTACTTCCATGTCACGTCTCTCTTTTGAGAGTTGAGCAGCTTCATGCTGAGGTGAATGGTCTCCCCTTTGTTAGCAGTCATTGTAAGGTGAGTTGGGATAAAATTTGCTGCAAAAAAACCATTAGATAAACAGGGTTATTCTCAAAAGATGACACTACATCCAAACAGGATTCACAAGAAAACTGTAGAGTATAAATAGTTCATGCTTCAGGGATCAAGATATCTTCCCAGAGGTTTTTTTTTTTCTTTTTAACAGCACTACCAAACAAACGAGAGAAAGAAACACTTAGTAGTAAGCTGGTGGTTGTATATGTTATATGGAGTCTAAACCAACCTCTGCCGATGTTGTTGATCATTGTGACCGTCTCCAGCGGGGGGACTTCCTGAGTGGATTCACAGTAGAAGATACCGATATGATCCAGGTCACGGAAGCCTTTAGCCACGGCCTCCCTGTTCCTGGGTTTATTCACTTTAAAGTTTGGTTCTTTGGGGAATACGAGGATCCTGTTGTCTCTCTTGATGTCCAGCTCCACCTGGGCAGGGCTGCGCTCCCCGTTAATGCATGAGATGGAGAAGTGATTGACGTTTGTCACCTCCGCTGTGGAGATCATGGTCAGGTCGATCACAGCGTCTGTAGGAGAGGACTTAAGGAGGTTATGGAAATCCCAGGAGCTTCACTTGATTATCAAACTTGAACAAAGGTTTTTTTTTCCCCGTTCATTTTCAAAGTACATTGCCAAATCAACCATTTAAGAAGAAAAGAAGTAACTGAATATCTTGGGGTATTTGTCAGCACATTCAAGAAGTTGATCTCTTACTTACAAATTTTGTGATGGAATCTGCTGTGAGTATTTGGAATAAACACAATATGTTCTTCTTTTATCATTATCTGTGGATTTCTTCTTAATGTTACAAATAAAAATAAAAATAATGAATGGTCTCAAAATGTGGTAACATCTGTCTCAACCGTTCTACCTCATCCTGTTCAACTCCAAGCTTTTATTAAATATCTGGTTTAGGTTTAATATAAATGTTTTACTTTCTGTTTTACTGTTTCCAACATTTATATTAGCTCCATGTGGGAAATATATTAGTGAGTAAATCATCAGAAACTGGGCACATATTTGTGTTACAGTTATACAAGTAAGTGTTAGAATAAAATCATTGTAAACTTCATCCTAAACTTTTTTAAACACATACTGTTTGTTATCTGAGATTGTTGTTTAGGTTCCTACTTATTATTATTATTATAATTAACATGTTAAATAAAATACATCAATCAATCCCTTTAATGGAAACGATAAATGCTACCAAATAACTTCAACTCTATTTCAAACACCTGACTACAGTTTACATAAATCTGTGCTCCAGCCCAGCTGAACACATGAAGTAAAGTTCATAATCAGAAACATAGTTAGTCAACCATAAGGATTTGTTACTGCCAAAGATCAAGAGTACACCTTCAATCTCAAAATGGACTTTAATAAAAGTTACTCCCCGTCATAAAACATCTTACACACTGACACCAGAGAAGGAGGTTGATAAAGTGGCAACATCAGCCCATCTTTCACAAGAATGTTGGGTTAAAGAAAACACCTTAGGAATGAAGTTATTTAAAAAAAAAACTTGCAAAACCATGTGTTGTTTGTCCAGGATTCCTTCTCGCAGGAATTTAAGCCCCCAGAACCTCAGAACAATGGCAGGAAAACATGGATGAGCTCCTTTTCCCCAAGGATTCAGAAATCTATACTCTACGTCAGAGGGTTCTCATGACTTTAACAAAGTACGAGTTATAAATAAAGAACATTACAATGAAAAAGTCAACATTATCTTCCTAAAAAGAGGACAGCACTTATTGAAAGTATAGATTTACTTTCAATCTGCTCCGTTTAAGAGTTACCCAAACAACCTTAAAAACTTTTGTTCTTACCTGATAAGTCAAGGAAGAGAAAAACAAACACCCAAAAAATCCTCATGACTTGTATATTCCTCGTCATATCGATATCCAAAAAATATCGCTGCTAAACTGGATTTCAAGGAAGAGTTGTATACATCCAAAACGGTGACGCTGCGTCACGACGAGTGGTGCGCTTTTTTACGCATAACTTTAGCGAACCATCCCAGAGCTCCGGGTCAGGTGTGAAATCACGTCGGTAAGAAAACTAAAGAAGCCGTGTTAAGCTCGCAGAGGTGGATTCACGGTTCGTCACACTAACCACAGAGTTGGATCTCAGCTTTCTCTGGGTGGGAAAGGAAGGAAGAGCGTCATCAGACAGCGGAGGACTGCTGGCGCTTCAAACCTCCCCGATCATGATTGATCTATTTATGAGTTTAAACTTAGTCACTATTGGCTACAACTGAAATGCAAACCACTTTGCTCGTGTTTTAGTTTCATTAGACTGTAATGCGAGGTTTTGTAGTTGTATATCTTAAGTTGTAGCTATGACATAACTAAGTTATCACTTTACTCTTCCAACTTTTTTTTGATTCTTGCACAGTATTTCCTTTGTTGTCAACTGTTGAAACTGTCAAAGGAATATTTTTTGGTGTTGTGTACTGGAAACTTCTCTCTGAGCATATATGGCATTGATTTTCACATGTTAATATTTGTGGAGAGTTAAAGATGCCTTTCTCAAAACCAAAACATTGTAACTACCCATACTTGACATGCATGCCAAGACCTATGCATGCTCACTATGTTCTTTGAGGCTGATATTGTATTTTGATTGTTGCCTCTATTTTCATTGTTTTACACTTAACACCAATTGCAGAAGCAGAAGCTGCTGTATTGTGTTTTGCCAAATGCATGCAGCTTTGTTCTTTCGCTTCAATAAGTTTGTTACAAACCCTCAGCTCTTGTGCTCATGCAGCCTCCCTTTAACCCTCACAATCAGTCAGCTTCAGGAAATGATGAACAATATGCTTGTTGTGTCTATTCTGCCCACATCTTTAAGCGCTGCACTGTCACACTTTCAAACAACAACACAAGCCTTTTTTTTTGTATTTTCTCTGAAAAAAACAAACTTTGGTGCTGATTTGATGTTTTCTTTACGTTTCCTTGCAGCTTCAGACAATCGACTTGAAGTTGAGTCAACTTCTTATTGTTTGAGCTTTCCTGTTTTCGATTTCAGAAGCTCATGTTGCTCTCTGAGGCGGGCAAGGAATATTTCACGTTATGCAAGTTTATGAAATAAATGTGAATAAAATAATGCAATGAGTGACAAAGAGTGCACTTTGATGACTTTACAAAAACTTTACTGAAAATGTAAAAATCCAACCATTAAAAAAGTCAAATAGTGCGTTACTGACAAACACAATCAGATAAGGTAGATATCCTCCTGGTTCAGTTAGTTGAGGTACAAACGAAAACAGAAACAAAACAAAAAAACGAAGTGGGTAGGTTGAGAATGTTTGGTCTACAAATCGCTGTGCTTCTATTTCAACTCTTGGCAAACAAAGAGGGTTGGCGCCAAGGATTGACTCAGATCTGTATTGTCTCCTTTTGACCTGTTAGTGTGACCTGTGTAGCACTGAAGCCAGAACAACTTCTTTTTAAAGAACCTCTTATTTCCTCTGCCCACTTCAAAAACATAGACAGTTTTGGACTTAAGAGAAGAGAACAATGATAGCGAACTGACAAGAAAGGATGCAGACTGCAGCTTTCTGCATGCAGCACATATCTATAGTGTTCACAACTACAAGTGTGCATTAGACATTTTGCAGTCAAACTAATTAACTGCAAAGAGAGAAAAGGTGGAGAAGTGTTGCGTGCTGCAGACACGGCTTGGTGGAGCCTCTATAGGAAGCCAAAAGGGAAAAGACTTAAGGCTGGGTCAACACAGATGCTTCAAACTTAGGCAACATTAATGCTGTCAGCAGTTAGAAACCATGGGGGGACAATTTTGTGTGAGTGTATTTCTGTGCACGAACATTTGTGTAAATATGTGATTGTACATTTGAGTGCAAGGCTCTAAGTATACATGCGTTGTATCATAAAGTACTGTGTGTTTTTGTATAGGAAATTATTGGGGTAGGGTGGAGGTCACTATGTGCTCCACGGACATTAGCCATTGTATCTGAAAGTCTTTGTGTCTTTATAGTAATTATGAACTCTGTTTGTTGTTAAAGCGACGGCGGCTCGCTTTAAGACACTAACAGACTCAGATAAGACTCAGCATGTCTGCTGCCAAGTTCAAGAAGCACAATCTTTGCTTCCTCAGGCAGGACATCAGTGCATCAAACACAGAAATCTGGAACAATCTCCAACCTGCGCAGTGCAGGTTTAGAAAAGGGGCGTGAGGAATGGACGCCTCAGTCATCAGTGTATCAGTGAAACGCCTCTGGAAATTTGGCTTGAATACTTAAATACATCTGATGTGATACAGATAGTTTATAAACTGTATAAACTGTTAATGTGTTATCTTATCCATTAAGATTAAGAAAAGCTTGTTAAAAAGATTTTATTTTCCGGGGCACTTAGCCAAGTGGTTAGTGCGTGTGCTCCATGTACGGAGGCTGTAGTCCTCCAAGCGGGCAGACCAGGTTTGACTCCGACCTGTGGCTCCTTTCCCCCCCATGTCATTCCCCACTCTCTCCCTCCACAATGTATGACTATCTACTGTCCTGTCTCTAAAATAAAGGTATAAAAAGCCCCAAAATAAACTTTAACAAATATATTAACTTCTGTAAAGACTGATTTCCAAGACTAGCCGTGGTCGATCACTTTGTGATTAACATCTGCCTGGCTGCAGTAGTGGTTGAGTCGGCTATCTCTCAACCTGAAGGTTGGGGATTTGATCCCCAGCTTCTTCGACACTAAACAATCGCAGCCAAAAATTGCAAACTGCATTTCTTTTCTGCTCTTGAGTGTATTTCTAAACAGCCACATTAAATCTGTCTTTGCTGCACTACACTGTGTTTTTAATGATCTCCAACAGGCTTCTTTTCTGCGCGCCCTTGCACTTTTTTTTTTTTAAACACAGTGACGTCTGTTCTTTTTAAAAAGAGTTAATTGGGAAAAAGTGAGGCAACACAGTAACATCTAAAATCGATGGAATAAGACGGTTGAGTTGCAGCTCGCTGTGTCTCACTATGATATAGCTGCATTATGATGACTTAATCCAGGGGTTCCCAAACTTTTCAGGTCGTGACCCCCAAAATAAGGGTGACAGAAACTGGGGACCCCCCACTGTTCTTTAAGGTGGTTTGTTAGGTATATAACGTAGCGACAGCCACGCACACACTAATAAACCTATTCAAAAACTAGTAACACAAAATAATAAAACAGCCTAAAAACAATAAAAATGTACACATTGATTTCACTTAATGATACTGTCTTATATGACATTGGACTACTTTTTGTATATTTACAAAAATGGGTAAAAATATATACTTATGCACTTTTAAATGACTTTTTATTTTTTATGGAAGGCATCTCGCAATCCCCCTCTTGTTGGCTGGCGACCCCCCTGGGGGTCCCGACCCCCACTTTGGGAACCACTGACTTAATCCAATCAGGATAGTTTAGAAAAACACAAGGGATAGGATGTCATTTTTGTATAAAAAAACTTTTTCTTTTGTACATTTTAGATGTTAGATGTTACATACACATGAACCCATATTGCATGTTTTATCTGACTGACCAGTACACCCTGAATTTAGCCAACAAAATTACAGCAAACCCTCTGTACCCCCTTTGGTCATAGTCTGTAGGGAGTTGGGTTGGGAACCGGAGGGTCGTCGGCTCAAGTCCTGGTGAGGACCATGATATGGAAGTTGATGTGGTAGCTGGAGAGGTGCCAGGGCACTGCCCAAGCACTGCTGATGTGAACCTGAGAAAGGCACTGAACCCCTTACCACTCTGGTGTGCTCCTTGCGTAGCAGTGAGTAGCAGCCCCACTCTGACATCTCTCCACTAATGCATGTCAACAGCTCCTGTTTGTGCATGTGTGTGAGAAGCATGTCTCTCAATAACAAAGTGTAAACCAGAGTTTATAAAGTGGGTGCAAGGCAGATAATTGTTATATCAATGCTGTAGCTTAAATTTTGATGTTCTTGGTGGCAGTGGGTTCATGCAATCATCTATCAGTGTATACTGTCACAGTGGTCATAACTATTTATACTATCTTTGTAACAGTTTACAGTGCCAATGGTAAGCATGACTTTTCACAATCTCCATTGGGAAGAGTCATTGTGGTGGGCTGGAAAGACTGTCTGAAAATACGACCTACATTGTGTCAAACATTCAATTTACAGCAGCACACTCCCAGGCATGTTTTACTTGTTTCTGACATTTTGTTGTGGTTGTAGTGGAGGTGGTGATGGCCAAACTGGGGGTGTCTGGAAGTGAGACCGGCAAAGAGGCGGGAGGTCTCTGAGACTTTGTGAGAAAGTTTGTATTAAATTCCCATTTCCTTTCATTGTGTGGCGAGCTGGCCCGACTCCACACGCACTGATCCTGCCGGGCCCTCGGAGACTAAGCAAGGGTGTCACTCACACCTCTCAGGACCCCTAAATTACCCCCCCATGAACTGTTACAAACCTCCAAACCAGTCAACCCCCTGCAGTCTGATAAAGAAACCCTCCTCAAGAATCATGGAGCTCTGGAGACATGATGTGTATGTGTGAGAAAGGTGCTTTAACATATCGAGTGTATGAGGTGTTGAAAAACTGAAATACAGATTTTGAGATAGAGCATGTGTGCAAGTGTTGTGGGAATAACAGACCCCTGTTTCACAAAGTCAGATATCCCCAACGATAAAGTGCTATAAAGCCTTGATAATGCCAGTCTTATTTCATGTCGTCCATCAGTTTTTTTTATTGGCAACAAGGTTTTTTTTTAACACAAAATGGTGACAAATGACAGGATGGCCGTGCATTTCCTCGCTTTTTAATCGTGTTGCGTTCACATACACAACCAGCTGCATCATGTAACAGCCGATACCTCTACAGGAAACCCCAGATAGCTCAGGCTGTATGCAGCTATGTGATGTGGGGGAAGTAAACAACAGACACGGTGAGACTCAGGAAGGTGTATTTAATATTAATCCTGCGTTACAAATTAACATAATAATAACAACAATATCAAGAATAACATCAAATCAGGTCAGGCCACTGATGACCGGTGGACAGAACACACTGTGGACCGGTCCCCACTCCATTTCTCCAACATTTTTCCTCCAGGCATGATCCTAACCCCCTTCATTTGTGTCAATTTAGTTTTGCAGGTTTGCATGTCCTCTTCTTAAATGGAAATATAAATCGCCAGCTTTTTATACATTCATGTATGACACCA